CTGCATCTGAAGCTGCTACGACCCCCTGGCGCTTCCCAGCTCCCCCTCCCCAAATTTGAACCAGACCGCCACCGTCCCTCTGGACCACCCCAGTGCCCCCCCCCCCCCCAGAGGGCGGTAGTGCCCACTGTGAGAAACACTGGTCTAAAAAAGTTCCGCCATAAGAAGGCCAGGAGCTGGACTGTTCTTGTCAAAGGTGAGAAATGCACATGGCTTGAGAGTTTTTGGTGAGAGTTGAGAGCTCATCACTTAACCCCCGACCCCGTACCCCAACTATGACAGCAATGTGAAACCACATATTCACACAATTCATGATAATCGTATCAGCCATGTGCACATATGGAAAGTTGCCCCAGACAGCAGAACATGTACTCCGGGTCTGCATCAAATGTTATACATTAAGGCAAACTTTTTGGCCAGAAAGAACAACAGTGGAACATAAACTCTACAGACCACTAAAAAAGTTCTTAAAAAACTACACTTAAATTCATGCGTGAGACAAATTGCTGATACAACTTTTTTCAGGCGAACGAAAGAAGAAGAAGAAGAAGAAGAAGAAGAAGAAGAAGAAGAAGAAGAAGAAGAAGAAGAAGAAGAAGAAGAAGAAGAAGAAGAAGAAGAAGAAGAAGAAGAAGAAGAAGAAGAAGAAGAAGAAGATGAAGAAGAAGAAGAAGAAGAAGAAGAAGAAGAAGAAGAAGAAGAAGAAGAAGAAGAAGAAGAAGAAGAAGAAGAAGAAGAAGAAGAAGAAGAAGACGAGAATGTTGCATTCTGCTGAAGTATGGCATAGGGGTCACAGATGAAGGTCAAGAATGAAGATCCTTCTCTCCATAGCCAAAAGCCAGGGCACTTTTGTAAAGATCTGCCTGCTCCCAGGCATGCATTAAAAATGCCTGTTATCTCTTTAAAATAATCATATTATGCCAATATCCCATAGCAGTATATAAATATTATCAAAGGCTAACTTACGTTAAAAAACAAAACCTGTGAAATGAAATGACAGGAAGGCTGCCACCCTAACCATCCAAAACAAAGTTAGAAATGATACATTCAGGCCATCTGGGAACTGCACAGTGCCTCAAATTAATTGAGATAAATTTGAGTGATTTTCTTGTTAGAAAGTAGCCAGAATTACTACTAACACAGATGCTGCAAATAAAAAAAGATATGATGCGAAACCAGGAGGCTGCCCTAGGTGATCGTGGATCGATTACATTAAAGAACTTCTACATCGACACTGAATGACAGCAGCTTTAGCTACTTGTCAAACAATGGATTGCAAACTGTTCCTCCCCACGCTTCTTAATGCCAAAAGTGAAAATGGATGATGATCTAATGCCAATGTTGATAAGTTTAAGTAGTCATGGTTTACTACTTCGCCTTAATACCGGAATCACGGATCAGGTCCGTGTTCTTGCACGGCTTTTATGCGCAGCCACATCTCTTAATTAATTATCCAGGGTTTGTTTTTAAAAATCTTGCCCCTCCCTTTTTTTCCTCTCTCGCTCTCTCTCTCTATCGATCTGTCTATCTATCTGTCTATCTATCTATCTATCTATCTATCTATCTATCTATCTATCTATCTATCTATCTATCTATCTATCTATCTATCTATCTATCTATCTATCTATCTATCTATCTATCTATCTATCTATCTATCATCTATCTATCTATCTATCTATCTATCTATCTATCTATCTATCTATCTATCTATCTATCTATCTATCTATCTATCTATCTATCTATCTATCTATCTACCTATCTACCTATCTACCTATCTACCTATCTACCTATCTACCTATCTATCTATCTATCTATCTATCTATATCTATCTATCTATCTATCTATCTATCTATCTATCTATCTATCTATCTATCTATCTATCTATCTATCTATCTATCTATCTATCTATCTATCTATCTATCTATCTATCTATCTATCTATCTATCTATCTATCTATCTATCTATCTATCTATCTATCTATCTATCTATCTATCTATCTATCTATCTATCTATCTATCTATCTATCTACCTATCTATCTATCTACCTATCTATCTATCTACCTATCTATCTATCTACCTATCTATCTACCTATCTACCTATCTATCTATCTACCTATCTATCTATCTATCTATCTATCTATCTATCTATCTATCTATCTATCTATCTATCTATCTATCTATCTATCTATCTATCTATCTATCTATCTATCTATCTATCTATCTATCTATCTATCTATCTATCTATCTATCTATCTATCTATCTATCTATCTATCTATCTATCTATCTATCTATCTATCTATCTATCTATCTATCTATCTATCTATCTATCTATCTATCTATCTATCTATCTATCTATCTATCTATCTATCTATCTATCTATCTATCTATCTATCTATCTATCTATCTATCTATCTATCTATCTATCTATCTATCTATCTATCTATCTATCTATCTATCTATCTATCTATCTATCTATCTATCTATCTATCTATCTATCTATCTATCTATCTATCTATCACTATCTATCACTATCTATCACATTTCATGATGGACAGGAACAGTGACAAGTATTCTAAAATGCAGGGTAACCTTTTTATTCTCAGGACAGATGAAAGTTCACCCTCACGTGGAGGCAGTGATATTATCAAAAGAGGTAGAGAGGACAAACAGAATGAGAATTTGTAAGTCCTAACAGTGATAGGACACACGTTGAGAAACCTGAATACAATATAACAGAGTATCTTTGCACTGGAACCCACAGGGGCATAGAATTAGAGGCAGACCCAAATCATACGGCAAAGGGAGCTAGAAAGCGAAGTTACAAAAAAGAAAGAGATTACGTGGGGTGAGCTGTATGCAGTAGCGAAAAAGACAACAATTTAGCGTGAGTTCGTTGAGGGCCTATGGTCCATAAGGGCACAGAATGAAAGGGGGGAAAGTAAAAGAAGAGCCATTCTACACCAGGAGATTGTGATTAATGTTCACCGTCTGTCCTAGCCACGTCCGACCGGAAACGTAATCACCAGTATAAATATGGCTGACTACATGGAGGCCTAGCTTGTAGAGAGAGACACTTTCCCTGTTTTGTGTTTAGACTGCTATATCTTTTCTGTGGGTCCCCTGTTGCAGTTCCTTTCTGTTGTGTGCAAACTTGCAACAGTTGCCGTTGAATACAAGTAGATACTGATTTAGAAATGCATTGGTGTTTTGCATTTGTGACTTACATAAAGTAGCCACCGTTTAAAAAGAATTTATCAGAGTCGACGACTCAGTCGTCAACAACCGCAGTCAGCTGAGATGATCGATCCAGTCACCCAAAAATACATGATTTTTTTTTTAAACTAGCGAGACCTTTTCTTATTTGTAAAGTTTATACAGTTATAAACTGTGACAGATTTTAGGTGTTTATTTTTTCGTGTTCAGGGTTATAAGAGAAGATACATAAACATAACCTACACACTACCGAAAAGAACGTTGCTATGGTTTGAGTTCACAACCGTGGCAAATAAATAATTTAAAAAACAAATTTTTAAGTTTTATGTATAGTAGAATAAGAATGTTATTGCTGTGGGACATTAGTGATATTATTAATGGCTTGAATAATTAGACATCATAAAGTAATATAAGTAAAAACGGGATTTTTTAATCAAACTGGTCAAATACAGAACAGATAAATAAAGAAATTATTACAGTTAAATTAATACACGTAATGATAATACTGATAACATGAACATTCCTGGTAAGCAGAAATAATACTGATAACATGAAAATTCCTGGTGAGCAGAAAAATGTGGCTAGAATTAAGAAAGATACATACACATACAACACACACATACTATTCAGCTGTTATCTTATGCCCGCTATTAAATAATTTTAATAAACATTACACCAAACATTTATTTTATGCTTGTGGTGGACCCAGGTACACAAATACAAAGTGTTCTTTTTCAAGTTGATGTCAGTTCTTGGTGTTTATCATTTACAGATCTTGTTACTATTTTCTGTACATGGTTAGTAGAAACAGAGAAACAATAGCTGTGCTTTTGTGCGTTGGTAGTACACACGGAGAGAAACAATAGCTGTGCTTTTGTGCATGTGTAGTACACACGGAGAGAAACAATAGCTGTGCTTTTGTGCATGTGTAGTATACACGGAGAGAAACAATAGCTGTGCTTTTGTACATGGGTAGTACACACGGAGAGAAACAATAGCTGTGCTTTTGTACATGGGTAGTACACACGGAGAGAAACAATAGCTGTGCTTTTGTACATGGGTAGTACACATTGGAACCCACAGGGGCATAGGAATAAAGGAAGGCCAAAAAACACATGGAGAAGAGAGCTGGAGAATGAGGTTAGAAAGATTGGGAGGACATGGGGAGAGCTCCATGTAATGGCGAAGGATAGAACGACTTGGCGTGAGTTGGTTGAGGGCCTATGCTCCATTGGGGGATAAAAAGGCAGAAGAAGAAGAAGAAGTACACACGGAGAGAAACAATAGCTGTGCTTTTGTACATGGGTAGTACACACGGAGAGAAACAATAGCTGTGCTTCTGTACATGTGTAGTACACACGGAGAGAAACAATAGCTGTGCTTTTGTACATGGGTAGTAGACAGCGAGACAATATATGTCCTTCTGTACATGTGTAGTACACACGGAGAGAAACAATAGCTGTGCTTTTGTACATGGGTAGTAGACAGCGAGACAATAGATGTCCTTCTGTACATGTGTAGTACACACGGAGAGAAACAACATCTGTGCTTTTGTACATGGGTAGTAGACAGCGAGACAATAGATGTCCTTCTGTACATGTGTAGTACACACGGAGAGAAACAATAGCTGTGCTGCATAAAAGCCCATACTTAAAGCTATTTCAGCAGCCCTGCATCTCAGTATTTTGATTATCTTTGTATACTAAAATTTGTAAAGTCTACCAAATGTTTCAAAATGACCGGTGGATAAAAAAAAACTGTCTTAAGTGACGGCACACACAGTGAAATGTCAGTAAGACAGTCTCAGACAGTGAATGCAGGCCTGTCATGGAAGAAGTGCAGTGTTTGTCAGGACAGTGTGTTTTTCAAATCACCACGTGATTTCAGTCAACATTTAAGGGATTTTCATTGCTCTAAAGAGGGCGGGTCCTATGTTTGTCGCTACGGAATGAACGGCGTGTGCCCTTCACTACCTTTAGAGGGAGTCAGTGACCGTGATTACGATGATCATGTGACCAGGGACCATATACACAGTGATTATGGTTAGTATTTCTATAATAGTAGTCTTTTTTTTTGCTCTCCATCTCTTTCTATCTATCTATCTATCTATCTATCTTTCTTTCTTTCTTTCTTTCTTTCTTTCTTTCTTTCTTTCTTTCTTTCTTTCTTTCTTTCTTTCTTTCTTTCTTCTTATTCTTCTTTTATCTCTCCTTCTTTTGTCTTCTGCTTCTTCTTCTTTTTCTTTTTATGGTCTTTTTCGGTTTTTTTCGTTGTCCTCCAGCGCCTCCTTCTCCCCTTCTCTTTCTCTTCATCTGCTCATCTGCTCATCATCCCTCGAAACTTTAGTTAAGCTCATCGGCCATTTTGCCCCAATCATCCTATAATTATTACGTGCAGCTCACCCCGTGCACCCCCTTTTTCTTCCCCATCTTATCAGCCTCTGTAAATCACTGTTTCATGTGTGTTTTTTAAAATCTATATCTTTGACCCTATGAGTTCCAGTACATGGACATTTTAGTTATATAATTAAGAATGTGGCATACGAGAGAGAGAGAGAGAGAGAGAGAGAGAGAGAGAGAGAGACTTCCATATTATCAGCAAAAAGGTTGTTAACAGTAGCAGTTGAAAAAAAAAAAATAGAGATCAGTAAACTATATAATACTTGTGTCATCTGATGCAGGTGCTCGAAGCAATGTCCCCCGAGATCAGTAAACTATGTAATACTTGTGTCATCTGATGCAGGTGCTCGAAGCAATGTCCCCCTAGATCAGTAAACTATGTAATACTTGTGGCATCTGATGCAGGTGCTCGAAGCAAGGTCTCCCGAGATCAGTAAACTATGTAATACTTGTGGCATCTGATGCAGGTGCTCGAAGCAAGGTCTCCCGAGATCAGTACAATATGTAATACTTGTGTCATCTGATGCAGGTGCTGGAAGCAAGGTCCCCTGAGATCAGTAAACTATGTAATACTTGTGTCATCTGATGCAGGTGCTGGAAGCAAGGTCCCCCGAGAGAGATCAGTAAACTATATAATACTTGTGTCATCTGATGCAGGTGCTTGAAGCAAGGTCCCCCGAGATCAGTAAACTATGTAATACTTGTGGCATCTGATGCAGGTGCTTGAAGCAAGGTCCCCCGAGATCAGTAAACTATGTAACACTTGTGGCATCTGATGCAGGTGCTGGAAGCAAGGTCCCCCGAGATCAGTAAACTATGTAACACTTGTGGCATCTGATGCAGGTGCTCGAAGCAAGGTCCCCCGAGATCAGTAAACTATATAATACTTGTGGCATCTGATGCAGGTGCTCGAAGCAAGGTCCCCCGAGATCAGTAAACTATATAATACTTGTGGCATCTGATGCAGGTGCTCGAAGCAAGGTCCCCCGAGATCAGTAAACTATGTAACACTTGTGGCATCTGATGCAGGTGCTCGAAGCAAGGTCCACCGAGAGAGATCAGTAAACTATATAATACTTGTGTCATCTGATGCAGGTGCTCGAAGCAAAGTCCCCCGAGATCAGTAAACTATGTAATACTTGTGTCATCTGATGCAGGTGCTCGAAGCAAGGTCCCCCGAGATCACCAGTTATTAAGTGATTCCCACATGCCATCATCATATCAAGAACCAAACATAGTTCAGGACCAGTACAAGTGGACAGTTCACAACGCCTCTGTCAACCTGCCTGCCCTGCTCAATGACCCGCGGCTGGTTAAACGTGAGACAGATTTTTTCACCAAGACTTGGGGCAACTCATTTGAAAAGGTTGAAATTCTTCCATCTCCTTACGTTCCAGAAATTGGACCCGAGCATTTTGAAAAATATCTTCGGAAAACTGCAGCGGTAAGTGCGTGGGTTTCTGTGTTGGATTTGTAAATGTAGTTAGATCATGGATGCAAATATAATGACACTTAGTTATGTCTGGCGGTAAAATGTATTCTTAGATGTGTACAGATTTCTTCTTTTTGTTCTCTTCTTCTTTCCCCTCTTTCCTTAACATATTTCTTCTTCGTCTTTCTTCTTCTTCTTCTTCTTCTTCTTCTTCTTCTTCTTCTTCTTCTTCTTCTTCTTCTTCTTCTGCTGCTGCTGCTGCTGCTGCTGCTTCTTCTTCTTCTTCTTCTTCTTCTTTTTCTTCTTCTTCTTCTGTTACTTTTTCTTCTTCTTCTTCTTCTTCTTCTTCTTCTTCTTCTTCTTCTTCTTCTTCTTCTTCTTCTTCTTCTTCTTCTTCTTCTTCTTCTTCTTCTTCTTCTTTTTCTTCTTCTTCTTCTGTTACTTCTTTTTCTTCTTCTTCTTCTTCTTCTTCTTCTTCTTCTTCTGCTTCTTCTTCTTCTTCTTCTTCTTCTTCTTCTTCTTCTTCTTCTTCTTCTTCTTCTTCTTCTTCTTCTTCTTCTTCTTCTTCTTCTTCTGTTGCTGCTTTGTCATATTCTTCTTATGCATTGCCATTGTTCATTCTCTAATGTATCTGCATGCAACACACAAGTCACTGAGCACAACTAAAGCCCAGAATTAGATGAACTTTCCTCTAGAGTTTACAGTCGGGGAATGTTGAGAAGTTGTTGTTGTTGCTTTGTTCTCTACCTTCGAATATAGTTATATTTTTTTAATATCTGTTATTGCAGAGGTTAAAGAAACATTGTCGTGTTAAACAGAAATTGGTGGAAGATGCAGTGGGAGGCAAAGAGATTTATCCATCTCTTCATTTTAGACAAATAGGTAAGTAGATTAATTACTTTGAGGATGTTAGGCATGTTCTGAGTAGAGACCCGACAGCTGGGTCTTCTACATATACTTTCTACGGCTGTGTGTCTGTGTGGGTTTTTGTCTGTGTGCGTCGGACGTGGGTGTTTGTATAGGTCTTTTTGTGCGACTACTTGTGTGTATGTATGTGTGTGTGTGTGTAGCTGTGTGTGTCTATATGTGTCTGGGTTGTATGCGTGTGTGTTTTAGAGCGCATGTCTGTGTGGGTGACAGTGTGTATGAGTGTATGTATATATGTGTATGTATGTGTGTGTGTGTTTGTGCATGTTCATATGTGGATGTGTTTGTGTGTGTATTGGGTGCCTATGTGTGTGTGTATGTGTGAGTGAATGGGTTTGCGTGTGTGTGTGTGGGTGTTCGCACGCGAGCGTGCGCACATATTTTACCACCCATGCTTTTGTTTTTGACTTGATATTCACAGTATGCATATTATTACATGAACATAACATGCTTTATTAATGAAATACAACTGTTGTGTGAAAGATGAGAGTTTGGAAGGGCCGAATGTCAGACAGGCCTGCGTGCCTAATTTATAACCCTTTGAAAATAAAGTTCGTTCGTTCGTTCTCCCATAAAAGGGCTGAAGACATGTTATGTTGTGGTTTACAGCTAGGCTGCTTTATTTGCACCTTTCGGTCCAATTTGTTGATTAAATCCGTAATTAGTAGCCTTTTATGACATGTATGTTTGTGGGCAGTAGTTCTGTTCTTTTATTTCTTTCTCCCCAAAATGAGACCCCGAAACCCGCACAGGGCAAACTGGTTTAGAAAAAATTAGGTGCTGTTCACGATAACCGCGACGTTTAAATTAGGCTGCACGCTGTTTTATTCATAAATCATTGGACTGCTCGGGGATGTAGGGGTGTGACCTAATTCTAGATTATTTCTGGGACACCGATGATCTGCGATGTTGTGGCATGTTGCTGTTCAGTGCGCTATTCCATGAGATGTCCCGGACGGAATAAACTCAGACCCCTGTGACCCAGAAGAGTCCAAAAAGCTATAAATGAAAGTTCAAGGTCACAGTTACCAAGAACAGCACCAAAGCTTATGGTGGTGACCTGTTTGCTATGATGTTGGTACTGCAATCACTGGCTTGTCTGATTGGGGGAAAACAATTCAATGGAGCAGAGGGAGATAAATACCTGGTTGGCTTGAGCACATTGCATCACTGGGCCATGAACACAGACATGATCAGAAAATCTAGTGATCATGTCAAAATGGGACTGCTCGCCTTGACACTTTTGATACCAAGCAACTCATTATATATTCATTAATTACTCTACACATGGTATACTTTCCCAAACTCTATACATGATAAACTTTCTCTAACTCTGTACATAAAATACTTTTCCTACTCTGTACAAGGTATACTTTCCCTAACACTATACAAATAAAACTTACCCAGACTCTATACGAGGTATACTTATCCTATTCTATACAAAGAATTTATTTCTCAAACTGAATAAATTATACTTTGCCAACTTCCTATGGCTGATTCTCCTCTTACATTAACCCGCCTGTTCCACTTGTTACTTTAACCCCTTCCATCTCATATGTGGATTATATTTGCCCATTAAAAACAGTTAGGATTCAGAGATTGTTACTGTACAGTACTTCAAACATTGGAATAGAACATTCTGAAGTTTCAAATGCCTGGCACCAAAGGGGTTAATCAGGATCACACGTGATGATGATGATGATATATCCATGTAAACCTTGAGGTTTCTGACAGGACATTTTATTTCACATACAGTGCCGGGGAAGGGCAATGGATACTTTAGCTAGCTTACTTAGGCCGACATTAGTAAATCTGTGAGCCAGCTTTGAAGGATAGGTACACATACATGCGCACCCACGCATATGCGAGTGTCTGCGTGCAAACACACTCACGCAAACTTGTTACTGCCTGTAACTACCACTATTGTGGTGTATCCTGGGGTCTTTGAGCCTGAAGATTTATGGCTGCATGGCTAGTGCTGTTGCCATGTACTGTGCAGGTTAGGACTTTATTTGTGCTGCCGACAGAAAAATCCCCAGCCTTATTAGGGATTTGAACCTGAGTCTCCCGCTCAAATGCCCAGCATTCTAACCATTTGACCAACCACTTCTCTGTATAGGGTACCGCTGTGTTTAAATAAAACAACATTACAAGGGCCTGACACCTGTAACCCTGCTCGAGCCACTGTGTGCTGCAGCAGCTGCTACAGTCATTAATCTTACTTCATCAGGCGTTACTTCTTTTTCCTAGACAGCATTTTATATTTTGTGTGGATATTAGGTAACACGCAGAGCATATATGTTACCAGGGACCCATACGAGAAGCATTTGAACCTACTACGTATGTGTCGTCAGAGGCAGGTGACAGATTGAATTATAAAGTAAAAGACTTTTCACGCCAGATGTATCGGGCATGGGACTCATTTTTAAAGACTGATTTGCACTTGATGGGCCATGGATTCATTATCATGTCAACTGCCTTTATTTCCCAAGACATTTCTTGATACCTGTTTTAAGACTGAATCAACCCAGGAGCCAGTGTCATTTAAAAAAAAAATTTTATTTTTGTTTTTGTTTACAGCAGTGCTGCAATATTCGCCCCTGTTCAGCCCAACTCATCTCACTTCCACCCAACTCATCTCACTTCAGCCCCTCATCTCACTTCAGCCCCTCATCTCACTTCAGCACAACTCATCTCACTTCAACCCAACTCATCTCGCTTCAGCCACTCATCTCACTTCAGCCGAACTCATCTCACTTCAATCCCTCATCTCACTTCAACCCCTCATCTCACTTCAGCCCAAATCATCTCACTTCAGCCCCTCATCTCACTTCAGCCCATCTCACTTTAGCCCAACTCATCTCACTTCAGCTGAACTCATCTTGCTTCAGCCCAACTCATCTCACTTCAGCTGAACTCATCTTGCTTCAGCCCAACTCATCTCACTTCAGCCCAACTTTTTTCACTTCAGCCCAACTCATCTCACTTTTTCCCAACTCATCTCACTTCTGCCCAACTCATCTCACTTCAACCCAACTCATCTCACTTCAGCCCCTCATTTCACTTCAGCCCCTCATCTCACTTCAGCCCCTCATCTCACTTCAGCCCCTCATCTCACTTCAGCCCAACTCATCTCACTTCAGCCCAACTCATCTCACTTCAGTCCAACTCATCTACCTTCAGCACAACTCATCTCACTTCAGCCCCTCATCTCACTTCAGCCCCTCATCTCACTTCAGCCCCTCATCTCACTTCAGCCCAACTCATCTCACTTCAGCCCAACTCATCTACCTTCAGCCCAACTCATCTCACTTCAGTCCAACTCATCTCACTTCAGCACAACTCATCTCGCTTCAGCCCAACTCATCTTACTTCAGCACCACTCATCTCACTTCAGCACAACTCATCTCGCTTCAGCCCAACTCATCTTACTTCAGCACAACCCATCTCACTTCAGCCCATCTCACTTCAGCACAACTCATCTTACTTCAGCCCAACTCATCTCACTTCAGCACAACTCATCTCACTTCAGCCCAACTCATGTTACTTCAGCACAACCCATCTCATTTCAGCCCATCTCACTTCAGCACAACTCATCTCACTTCAGCACAACTCATCTCACTTCAGCACAACTCATCTCACTTCAGCTCAACTCATCTCACTTCAGCACAACTCATCTTACTTCAGCACAACTCATCTTACTTCAGCCCATCTCACTTCAGCACAACCCATCTCACTTCAGCACAACCCATCTTACTTCAGCACAACTCATCTTACTTCAGCACAACTCATCTTACTTCAGCCCATCTCACTTCAGCACAACCCATCTCACTTCAGCACAACTCATCTTACTTCAGCACAACCCATCTCACTTTAGCCCAACTCATCTTACTTCAGCACCACTCATCTCACTTCAGCACAACTCATCTCACTTCAACCCAACTCATCTTACTTCAGCACAACCCATCTCACTTCAGCACAACTCATCTTACTTCAGCCCAACTCATCTTACTTCAGCCCAACTCATCTCACTTCAGCACAACTCATCTCACTTCAGCCCATCTCACTTCAGCACAACCCATCTCATCTCAGCACAACTCATCTCACTTCAGCCCAACTCATCTTACTTCAGCACAACCCATCTCACCAACCCATCTCACTTCAGCACAACTCATCTCACTTCAGCACAACTCATCTCACTTCAGCACAACTCATCTCACTTCAGCACAACTCATCTCACTTCAGCTCAACTCATCTCACTTCAGCTCAGCTTATCTCACTTCAGCACAACTCATCTCACTTCAGCTCAGCTTATCTCACTTCAGCACAACTCATCTCACTTCAGCTCAGCTTATCTCACTTCAGCACAACTCATCTCACTTCAGCTCAGCTTATCTCACTTCAGCACAACTCATCTCACTTCAGCTCAGCTTATCTCACTTCAGCACAACTTATCTCACTTCAGCTCAGCTTATCTCACTTCAGCACAACTCATCTCACTTCAGCACAACTCATCTCACTTCAGCCCAACCTTACTTCAGCCAGCCCTCAATTAGACCTCTTTTAGGGCATATTTGTTATGGTGCAGTGTGTCATCTTTACTGTATGTTTATTATGGGGCAGTGTGTCATCTTTACTGTATGTTTATTATGGGGGCAGTGTATCATCTTTACGGCATGTTTGTTATCGGGCAATGTCATCTTTATGGCATGTTTGTTTTGGGGCAGTGGGTCATCTTTACCATATGTTTGTTATAGGGCAGGTGTCATCTTACCTCTCAGAATGGGGCTCTAAAACCCACACAGTTCAACGTGTGCCATTCCATCTGTAAATTATAAAATGAATATGCAAGTCAGACTCATTGCGGAACATTTGGAATTCACTATATTTGCAACGTCAAGTTAAAATTTAATCTTGGGTTTGAAATTCTGCATTTATCTATAGTTAACAAGTAATCATAAATGATTTTCATTTTTGCTTTCAGAGCAAAGCCGTGCTGAACTGGACCAGATAAAGGTAGAGGCAAATTTCAAAGAAAATCATACAACTGTCCTCCTGTTTGTATTGTCTGCTGTAGAGTGCTTTTCTTCTGGAATCATCGTCATCATATCTACTTCATCTGCATCAACTTCTTCATTCAAAACAATGTTTTCCCGTAATGAATTTAAATAGTTGAGTTGAGTCAAGAATTGACATCACTGCACTCTAGACATTCCCATATGTGCTCCATCCCCATCCTCAGCAACCAGCGCAGATTTCCAATACTAATTGTGCCGGTTGTAGTCTGGTTGTATGTCTGTCTTGCCTTTCCTCTGAGCGTAGTGTGCCGGCCGAACCCAAGTGCATCATTCTCTCCAGCCCATAATAATCTAGTTTCTCTTCTGACCTCGTTATTTGTGCCCAAAGAGCTCTGACCGCATCTGCCTTGTCATGTATCAGTTTCACCACCCAGCAGTGCAGATCCAGCTAATTTAAATAATGCGGCACACAAACAATACATTGTACAATTTATTGCCAGGCATATTTCGCTGTATCTCGCCAGGTGAGATACTATTCTATGATATACTATTCCTAACTTTCTGTCCCCCATCCAGTAATTACATTAACTCACTCTGCCTCAGTTGTTGCTTTATATCCTTCTCTCTCATGTTTTTATTATATAACCTGCTCTAGACTTTAAGATGTATTAGTTGAAACAATAAACTCTTAGGATATAATGCGATTAAGAAGCATCCAACCTGGGAATCAAAGAGTTAATCATTGTGAAACTCCACAATATGAGGCGTTACCTTCATCTTTGTCCCAGGGCATGCAGTTATTGGCAGTGAAAGAGATGATTGATCGGTTCTGCCTTTGGTGAAGATGGCTGGCCTATGGACCGGGCCAACACTGTTCATGCTCTTAGATAGATAGGACAGTCGGAGGATTTTGGGAGCACGGTGTCCACATCAAATTTTGAATAAAGATCGGCACACCCAAGTATGAGAGGCATGCCAGACGTAGAAGTTTTGTCAACCAGCATAGGACTGGCACTGTTAACTGTCTTACATTGATGTACCGTACACATTGAAAGGAGAATCTGAGCAGTTAGGGATGTGTCTGGAGTGCCAGGAAGTCAAACAGACTCATAATATGCATACACACACATTTAAACACATTGATACACTAATCTACTCTTGGGTATATTTTCTTAGAAGTGCTATTTTGTGACTTTTTTTCTCCCCAGTTGTTCATGTCAACACATTTTAATCTAGAGAACCCGGACATTTTCAACACCGTCTTTCCCTGGACTCAAATTGAAGAGTCAAGATCAGGTCATAATCAGTCTGAGCAGAGGCAGTCATCCAAGCTTCTACAGGAAAAGGTCAGCAGAAAGAATATGCATTTTTGTTCTTCTGTTATATTTTCCTTCAGAGCATAGGCCCTAAAGCATGGGTGGGCAGACCAGAGCCGGCAGGCCACAACTGGCCCACTGAGCAGTTTTTACTGGCCCGCGAGGCTGGTATAAAATGAATATATAATCTGGGCTCACAAAATAGTTGAACGCAAAAACAAACGTTTGCAGAAAGGACAAATCCATATTTATCTGTCTGTCTCTTACTCTGTTTCTCACTCTCTTATCGCTTACTGTCTATCATTCCACGCTTCTCTGCTCCCCCCACACCCACACACACTTTCCGTTAATAACATGATTTATGGAAATAACCAGCATGAACAGATACATTTAGGAATATAAAGACAGGCTTCAATGGGTAAGTGTGTCTGGCCAGAGACATAGCGAGGGATTATAATCTTAGGGCATCCCACAAAAATATCATGGTACAAAGAAATCTAGTGTTATGGTTATAATTAATTTTTTTCTTTTTTGGCCCGAAGCCAGGTAAGTTTAAATTTAGCCAGAGGACAACTAAAAAAGTTTTCCCACCACAGCCCTAAGGCAACTGATAGCAAGCATTCCTATCTTTTTGCATCTCCTGCCACTCCCTCCATGTCATCCCATATTATTCTTCTATTTCTTTTTCTGCCCTTTTAAGTGGATACCAAAGATTAGTACGCCGCCAACATTGCACCTGGATATACTGTTTGGGTTATGCGGGAGTGCAAGGGAATGAAAGAGCGTAATTTCTGGCTACAAAAGCGATAGCTATGGGAACATTCATACTAAACAAGGGAGACATTGTGAAGACCACATATCAACGATTGTTGATAGAAGACACAAGATTAGATGAAATAATGTGTGTAAGAATGTGTGAATGAAGAATTAGGAGTAAATCTGGCAAGGACAACGTATGAGGGGAAGAGAATGATGTGTGTATAATCAGTACTATGGGAACAGTTACCAACACTTTAAGAGATCTGCTGCGGGAGATGTAGCATCTATGGGTATGCCCGGTGTGCTAGGATGTCGATTCTTAGATCAGTAAATTAGTAGTCTCATTTGAATGTCTCCTTCTTCTTCTTCTTCTTCTTCTTCTTCTTCTTCTTCTTAGTGTTCACCAGCTGTAAACTCTGGCGGAAAGTTCTGATTGTTCATCCACTTCTGGACTTCAGTCCTGTTCCAGAACCTGTGTGTTGTGTGTGCATCCATTTTACAGATCTGGCTCATTTGTATGCAGACTGCTGGTTCCTTGCCTCTTAGGCAGATGCACTCCAACTTTTAAGGAAGCTCCCAATTAGTCGACTCTTACGACATGCTTTTTTTTGGGGGGGGGGGGGGCATTGGCTCTATTCTTGTTTCCCCTATAACAGGGTCTGGAACCAACAAGGGCATAATTTTAATGTGAACTGTTCTTGTTGTCATGGGATCCATTTAAAGCTGAGATGTAAGTTTTATATTGTTCAGGCTGTGTTATTGAGTGTCATAGGAGTTTTTACTGGAGATTCTCAAGGTTTGAATTGTGCTGTACAATATCTTAATGTTTTCACAGTTGAGTCACTAACTTAATGTATTCACAGTTGAGTCAGTACTTTAATGTATTCACAGTTGAGTTACTACCTTAATGTATTCACACTTGAGTCACTACCTTAATGTATTCACAGCTGAGTCACTACCTTAAAGTATTCACAGTTGAGTCACTACCTTAATGTATTCACAGTTGAGTCACTACCTCAATGTATTCACAGTTGAGTCACTACCTAAATGTATTCACAGTTGAGTCACTACCTTAATGTATTCACAGTTGAGTCACTACCTTCATGTATTCACAGTTGAGTCACTACCTTCATGTATTCACAGTTGAGTCACTACCTTCATGTATTCACAGTTGATTCACTACCCTAATGTATTCAGTTGAGTCACTACCTTAATGTATTCACAGTTGAGTCACTACCTGGATATTGTAGAAGTGCGGATTGCCCGGCAAATCTCCCAGAAGTCAGACGCTTTCTTCCATGCCATGACATCACATGATGAGCTGCAGGAGAAACTGACACACACTGTACAGTCAGTCAAACGACTCAGGTAAGTGCCCTCTGCATTTTATTGATTGATTGATTGTAACTGTTGTTTATATTCAGAAGGACACAGCCATTATTATTTTTTGGGGACTTATTATGTGTAGAGAGAAATTGGAACATGGTGTGACAACTGGAAATATTTATGGAAAGATAGAGAAAGAAGACTTAAGAACTCTTGTCCTGACATGGAAGGGTGAGTGTCAGCACATAAATTGATTCATACTGTCAGGGAGAAGCAGGATCACCCATGCAAGGAACTTGATGATTGTGATGACAACGATGATGTGTGTATTTTATGTAGTTGTTGTTCACATTTGTTGAACCAGTTTCTGCTTGTTCCCCTTCTTGTCACTGTCTCTGTTATGACTCTCTTTGCCAGGTTGGAAGATCTTTCTGGGCAGTATGGTCTCCACGCAAGGAGGTTTTGGGTTTGGGATTATAAGCTCTGCCGGTAACTCCGGACCTGTACAGGACAGCAGGTTTCACCAGGCTCGTGTAGCCACTATGAGTGGCCCAAATAAAATCTTTTTGGGAGTTGAACAGGGTATCTGGGAGTTGCCCTGTTGGCTTGCAATCAGGGTTTGAGATTTTTTTAATCTCAGGGTGATCAGAACTTCAAGTAACAACCCAGAGAAGACAAAAATGGAAGGAAGAAGGAAACAAAACCTGTCACTTCTCAGTGCCTGTTGTATCTAAGGGCTAGTGCCTTTTGAGACATGCTGTTTGGTTGTAGTCTTGTTACATGAACAAATCATTTGACTCACTTTCAGCAAGAAATTGTAAAGCTCTGAAAAAAAAAGTGATCATTGAAATAAAGTGAAAGTATTATGTAGGGATGCCTTCTTCTGCATTCACCATTGCAAGGGTAGTTGCAGTATTGTGTGATGGTTGACAGATAGGTTGCATATCCAGTTAAGCACTTCTTTTCAACATGTTTCTTTTTTTTAAACCCTTAAATGGGCCCAAGGGCAGAGGAATATGTTACTAAACTGATTAAAACAAGCTTCCTCAAGTGGGTTCCAAGGCCCCATTGTGGGGGAAAACAAGAATAGACCCACTGCCTTCCAACAAGCATGTCGTAAGAGTCGACTAATTGGGGGCTTCCTTCAAAGTTGCAGTGCATCTGCCTGAGAGGCAAGGAACCAACAGTCTGCATACAAATAAGCAAGATCTGTAAAAGGGAATGCACATGCAAAACTCAAGGGTTGGAACAAAGCCAAAGTCCAGGCATGAATGAACAACCAGGTCTGTCCGCTGAGGCTTACAGCCGGTGAATGCAAACAACATTAACACTGGCACAAAGATCAGTGGAGAGATATGTATACCTTGCTATATGACAAGGAGCATGATGATGATGAATATGTGAAATAGACCAAGATCAGTGGAGAGATATGTATACCTTGCTATATGACAAGGAGCATGATGATGATGAATACGTGAAATAGACCAAGATCAGTGGAGAGATATGAATACCTTGCTATATGACAAGGAGCATGATGATGATGAATACATGAAATAGTTTCAACAATGAAATGCAGATATTTACTCCCCGTGTGGTGTGCTCTTTTGCAGGGAAAGCATCAACATTGTCAACGAAAAGATTGCCAAAGATTCTCTCCGTGTACTCAAGCTTGCCCGTGCCAGAGCAAATTACATGGCCCTATTTAGTAAGGTAACTGTTTCTTCAGCTACTTAAAATCCTCATATTTTCTCTTTCACAATGCCCGCCCAAGTGGTTTGATTGTATATACAGATGGCTCTGTGTTGGGGGGGCAGACAAAGTGCATAGGGGTTTATAGCGAATGGACGTTGCTTGGCGCAACAAAGCCTGGCATATGATATCACAAGTTTGAGAATGGAGGTGGAGGCAGCCACGGCTATCTTCCGCTGGCTAGAGAATCAGTACACATGTCGTAATTGTAACCGACTAACACAGCATGTTGAGAAGGGTGGAGACCGGTGTGCTCCATGAAGAGTGGCAAGCATCGCTTCAGAGATCCTAAGTTAGTTAGCGTCCTTTGGATATTTTCCCAGGCATTGCCGGTGTATTAGGAAATGAATAAGCAGATGGACTGGCTGGTTCTGCACAACTTGGTGGTGAATTAATGCATGACCAGCTGGATGTTGTGAGGGCCCTTTGGGAACAGTGAGGAAGCACAGATGGATCATCATGGTCTGATTCAGAATAGCACTGCGAGAAGTGATGACCGGGGATCGGCTTGACTATCAGCCCTTAAGGGAAAGGTGAGAAGGATATACAGACTACTATTGGTACAGTTGGATTTTGAACTCGCTGCTGAAGATGGGGAATGGAGCACTTATGGGAATGTCCTGCATGCTTTGATGTCAATTCTAAATAAAACATTAAACATACACATAGTTTTCGTACATACAGCTTTCATACACGTAGCTTTCAGCTGTCTTTGGAATAGCTTTTATATACATAGCTTTCATACACATAGCTTTCAGCTCTCTTTGGAATAGCTTTTATATACATAGCTTTCATACAAATAGCATTTATGCACATCATAGCTTTCATACACATAGCTATTATACAGGTAGCTTTTATACATATAACTTTCACAAACAGAACATTCATAATCTGCATGTAATGTATGTCTGTAACCCACAGCTGAAAATAATGGCGTCCATACACGAAACCCAGCCGACCATCCAGCGTCTTCTGTCGAATAATGAGTTCATTGGTGCCCTTGACCTCATCGCCACTTCCCAGGATGTTCTCAGCAAAGACCTGGCGGGCATCAACAGTTTTCGGTAGGTGGTCTGCTCATGACATGTTTTCCTACTGTGCCAGGTGTAACGAGGAAAGATTGACTTAGGAATGATATTATCAGGAGGAAAACCAATACTGAACTTTAAAGGGAGACAACAAATAAAATGCGATGCCTGTGTAACAAGTTTGGCAACAGACAGGGAACCAAAGAGAGCAGGTTTATACAGGTACAACGGTAACAGAGCCAGAGGTAGACCACGCAGAAGATGAACCGCAGAAATTTCGGAGAATTTGAAAAGTACTTTATACAGGTGGAAAAACAAAGGGCCTGTTCCAGAGATTTCTGCCTGTCCTAACACTGCTAGGCATTCCAGGAGTAGAGAAAAGAAGAAGAAGAAGAGTGCTGATGTGGCAGTAAATTGTTTGTATACCCTCATTAGTTCCGCATCAGTGAATGTCACTTTTATGACTTGTCTGTAGTGACCTGTTAACACAACACGTTGATAATGCTGTTGGCTGTTTTTGCACCTGAATGAATGTTTAGAAGGGCTGGATAATAATATATTAACTAAGAATAGCATTTAGAGAGTTTTCTGGATTTCTGGAAACCAGTTTTCCCATAAGCCTCAATGATAGAGGTTACATGGTTACAGCATGAGTCACCTGATACATATGTGTTTTTTTTTTTAAGGTCCTAGGAATGTATTCCATTTAATGCTTCACCGTGTTTATGTTTATTGATTACTTCCTTCATATATCCTTGTATATTTCAAATAGAAAAAAAAAATATAGATGAATTAAGTTTTGTCGAATTTATTAGTGACCTGTGTGAAAAAAAAAATTCTGGAATTCCAGTGGGGACATGGTCTATTTTTTATGTTCCCGGGAAGAGAGGGTCAACTAGAAATTTAGCACTAGAATGATTAAATAAAAGTGTAGAATTAGAAGGGGAGCAGCTTGCTGAATGGTTAAGAATCATGGCTTTCATTTTGGAGACTCTGGTTCGAATATTTGGTAAATTGAGGCAGTTATTATTTTAGGGCAAAAATAAAATCCTAACATTTGCAGATTTGCAGATGATATCGATGGGTTGGCCGGGGAAGAACAAGAGCTAGTTTAAACTCTTCAACCTACTTTATGGAACATCCACCTAGTATAGCATGAAAATGAACGTGGACAAGACTAAAGTAAGGACTAATAATCCAGCTGGCATAACTACATCAGTGTACAGAATACGTTTTGGATACAGAACTTGACTGACTGGACAGTCCTTAGGCATTCAGCCATGAATTACATCGCATCTGACCGTCAAAGGTGGAAGGGGCTGATCAGACAGTCAACAGCGACTGGTGACCCCATGACATGCCATGTTACTGGATGATGTGATCATGAAGAACCTGAACAGCAGGGCTATTCAGCTGGTGACCCATGAGCCAGGTCTGGCCCGCAGAGGCCTAGCAAGTGGGCCACGGATCACCTGCCAGTTTTATTTATTGTATTAATGATCTTTGTTGGCTTCAGACGGGCCTCTGAACCGTGACGATTCCAATTTTCAAACATTTTGGCCCTTGAGTAAACTTATTTGAATGGTCCTGGTGGTCTGTAGTGACTGCACTAGCCAACCAGGCCTAAATCCTCAGGTTCGAGACTCCCATCACCGTCCTAAAACATAAATACGGGCAGCAATGATAGTTTAAAAAAAAAAAGCTTGAAGTATAAAATTGTGAAGTTATAATTAGGAATATTCAGATGTAACAATACTGGTACTGGTGGCAGAGCACTTACAGTTTATAATCGTGTGGCTTGATATGAAGCTGATTCGCATCTCCCGACTTTACCTTTTTTAGATGAAACAATAAATTCTCTGTTATAGTTCTGATGTAACAATAAATTCTCTGTTATAGTTCTGATATAACAATAAATTCCCTGTTATAGTTCTGATGTAACAATAAATTCTCTGTTATAGTTCTGATGAAACAATAAATTCTCTATTTTGGTTCTGATGTAATAATAAATTCTCTGTTATAGTTCTGATGTAACAATAAATTCTCTGTTATATTTCTGATGTAACAATAAATTCTCTGTTATAGTTCTGATGTAACTACATTTTCTGGTATGTTCCACAGTCATCTTGGATCGCAGCTGGCAGAGATGGAGAAGTTGATAGACAAGATGCTACAGACTGACTTTAGTAGGTGTGTTACCAATGAGCTGAACCGACCAGTTTCTGACTCCATTCTTCTGGCAGAAGAGGTTTGTCATTTGTGCACCTGCGTTTTGTTAATGTATTATGAAAGAGTTTGATTAGTAAACCTTTACTGTAAAAAAAAAAAAAAAACATCCATTCAACTTTGACTGTACCGCCATCCTAGCACATCAGTCTGATCTATTTATGAAAACCTCTGCCAAAATAGTAAATTCTGGAAACTTCTGTTAAAGTATAAATCCATCAGACCATTGACAGAATAGTAAATTCTGGAAACGTCTGCTAAAGTATAAATCCAGAAAAACTCTACCAGAATAGTTGAGTTGAGTTAGTCTAAGAACTGACATTATAGCTCTTGAGACATTCCCCTAAGTGCTCCATCTTCTTCATCAGCAACCCTTCTACCCGCACCATAATCTTTTTGTGCTTCTGCAATTTTCAATTGCTTGCAAAGGGCCTTGACCACAACTAGCTTGTTAAGCATTAATGTACCATCAAGTAGTGCAGCACCAGCCAGTCTATCTGCATGTTCAGTTCCCTACACATGTGCATCTCCCTGAGAGAAAATCGAAAGGACACTTACTACCGGAGACCTCTGAAGTGATGCTTGCCATTCTGCACGGAACATGCTTTTCTGTATATTTCACAGCATGTTTTGTGAGTCTGATGCAATCACAGCATGTGTCTGCAGCTGGTTGTGAAGCCAGCAGAAAGTTGCTATGGTTGCCTCCACCTCCACTCTCAACCTGGATAATGTGGTAACATCCTAGACTTTGTTGTGCCAAGTGACATCCATTCACCTTTGCAGACCAGTAGATCCAGGAAACCTTGTCCAGAATAGTAAATCCATCAAACGTCTACCAGCAGACTAAATTCAGAAAACATGACGGGAACAGATTCATCCTACTTTCTCTCATCTTCTCATTTATCAGAAAACATGACAGGGACAGATTCATCCTACTTTCTCTCATCTTCTCATTTATCAGAAAACATGACAGGGACAGATTCATCCTACTTTCTCTCATCTTCTCATTTATCAGAAAACATGACGGGAACAGATTCATCCTACTTTCTCTCATCTTCTCATTTATCAGAAAACATGACGGGAACAGATTCATCCTACTTTCTCTCATCTTCTCATTTATCAGAAAACATGACAGGGACAGATTCATCCTACTTTCTCTCATCTTCTCATTTATCAGAAAACATGACAGGGACAGATTCATCCTACTTTCTCTCATCTTCTCATTTATCAGAAAACATGACAGGAACAGATTCATCCTACTTTCTCTCATCTTCTCATTTATCAGAAAACATGACAGGGACAGATTCATCCTACTTTCTCTCATCTTCTCATTTATCAGAAAACATGACAGGGACAGATTCATCCTACTTTCTCTCATCTTCTCATTTATCAGAAAACATGACAGGAACAGATTCATCCTACTTTCTCTCATCTTCTCATTTATCAGAAAACATGACAGGAACAGATTCATCCTACTTTCTCTCATCTTCTCATTTATCAGAAAACATGACAGGGACAGATTCATCCTACTTTCTCTCATCTTCTCATTCATCAGAAAACATGACAGGAACATATTCATCCTACTTTCTCTCAACTCCTCATTCATCTCATGTGTTTCAGAGAAATTAACAATTAGGTGGAGGCACAAATAGATTATTCCGGTCTGAGGAAAATGTCGCTGCAAGGAATCACTAGGGGATCTGGTCAACACTCAAGGGAAAGGGGAGACAGATTTACAATCAGACAGTTACTGGTGCCATCAGAATTAGAACTCTTCCTTTGCGGCTGAAGATAAGGACGGTGCACTTATAGGAGTGTGTTGAGTGCTGTAATGTCGATTTCTAAGTAAACTTTCTGTTTCCTATATGCTTCTTATTTGTTGTTTCATAGAAAACCTAAAGATGAGAATAGATATGTTCTTGAAATGTTATATTTGTTTTTATTGTGATTGTGTAGGCCAGCGATGTTTTTTCAGATGCAGTTATACATGGTTGAATGGAGAGTAAAAAGCAACAACAAAATTCATAATCTGTTTAAATCACCACTGATCACTGGCATCATGAGAGCTAATAGACAAATTGTTGGGGCATATTGAAAGAACGATTGATGACAAGGAAGTAATAACTGTATACACCAGGGAGATGAATGGTGGTAGACCACGAGGCAGACCAAGAAGACGATGGAGAGATAATATCCAGACAGACCTGCAAACACTTGGTGTTATCAACTGGAAAGAGAAGGTCAACCAGAGAGATGAATGGAGGCGGGTGATATCTGCAGCAATGAACCTCAAGGGCTCGGAATACTGAAGAAGGCCAGCCAGAGAGATGAATGGAGGCGGGTGATATCTGCAGCAATGAACCTCAAGGGCTCGGAATACTGAAGAAGGCCAGCCAGAGAGATGAATGGAGGCGGGTGATATCTGCAGCAATGAACCTCAGCGGCTCAGAATGCTGAAGAAGAAGAAGTTCTACATGGTGATAATGATGATTGCCAGTATTAGTGTCATGGTCTAACTGTACATGTTTCAGGAGAAGCTGGTGTCTATACTGTTTGGCATGCTGAGGCAACACAAATTTAACTTCATCGATGTTTACCGAGAAGAAGCTTTCACCGCACTGAAAGCTACTGTCAAACAGGCAAGTCAAGATATTTCCTGTCCAACATATTTATGTTTATTTTCAGTTTCAGTAATGATGATGTAAACAGTTTGTTGCACACAGCAGTGATTCTCAAACTGTGCACAGCGGCGCTCCAGGGAGCCGTGACCTCTTCACGGGGGCGCTGCGAATTATTTTAATTTTTTTTAATCGCTCACATACAAATAGTCATAGTCATACTTTTACTTAGGTTAAGGCGCCGTGTGGAAACATTTTTATTGAAAAAAGGTGCCGCGACTAAGAAAAGTTTTGGAAACACTGACATAAAGTATTCCTTGGTAATTATTTTTTAAATGTCATTCATTATATGTTAGAAAGTTCTGAATTGTTGTGTCAAACCGGACATACTTTGTGCAGTGAAGTTTGACATGTGAACAAACTGTACTGTGTGCAGTGAAGTTTGACATGTGAACAAACTGTACTGTGTGCAGTGAAGTTTGACATGTGAACAAACTAAACAAGAACAGCTTGCAGACAGCAGAGATGGGATTTCCGAGATGCCTGTTGCCAACTACCAGAGAAAATAATGATTGCCTTGAAAAGACCGATGAATGGACGTGGGACATTCTACACAACTGTAAGGAAGAGATAAAAGGAATGGCTCCTCTTTAGGCAGAAGGCAGAATGGTCCTAGGAGCCAGTATAATTTGTAAAAATTTGCCTCAATACGGATTCAAACCTTAGACTTTCAGGCTGTCATACAAATGTCTAGCCGTTATGTTACTGCGGATAGAAAATAATTGATTAATATTAATAAACATGATTAAATGACGATAATTTGGTAATAAATGTAATAACATGAGGGAGGTAGTATATTAATAAATATTATTTAGGGTAGAAAATTATTTACTCATAACCATAAAATGAGGTAGTTAATTTATGTTTATAATGGTTTTCTTTGTGAATTGTTTTCAGACGGTTGTTGAAGCTGTAGTTATTGCCGAGGACGTGGACTCAGAAAACAATGCTGGCAGGTGAGCAAGACAGTTATCTTTTCTTCCTTCTCTACCATAGATGTAACCTTATGTGTATGTTATCTCACATATATGTAACATTGGGGCACTGTTGTTTCAGTCTGTATGGAGGATAGGCAGGCTTACTGATTGTTAGTCATGGCAAGTTTTTGCTTCTGACAATAGTTGGTCATTGTATTTTCCTCTGTTTGTGGACTGAAAAGGTATAGGTCTCTCACCCAGCTACTGAGCTGAGTGCATGGCACAACACTGTGGTTAATCTCTCTTGTGCAGTTACTGATATGTTGTAACTGTTGCTTTCATCAGTGGTAAACTTCATTTCTTGTGTCAGGCTGTTTGTGTTGGTACTTCTGATGGCTGCCTTATGCACACAGTAAATGTGTGTGTAGGCTGTTGGTTTTGCTGAAACTACAATCTATGTCAATTTTTCCACATAGGACAGTGATGGACATTCTGTTTGGCTCAGGAATGGAGCCACTGTGGGTGACCCGTTTGAGGTTTAAACTGCGATAACCTGATTACCTGATGTGATTTGTAACATTTCTTGTGTACTATGTGTATCCCTAAGGGGCGTAACCCTTTTACCCCATATCTTATTCTGTGGAAATATTGTCTAGGGGTTACAGTTCTTGCTTGTTTATTAATGGATAATGCACTCACTCTCTGATAACAGTAGTTGGGAAATTAAGAGAACAAGATTCTGTGTTAAAACTTGCCGAAAACAGAATTTGTATAGCAGACATCTGTCAGAATTTGATGAGAAAAGATACAGCAAGATGCTAGATAAATTTAGGAGGATAAAATATTACTATTATGAGAGTCTATACCAGAATTTGAGGCAGCTAAGAATAGCAAGTCCCTGTGTCAGAATTTGAGGAAGATAAAATATAAAATCAGCGTTTCTCAAGTTCCACCCCTGCCTTCCCAAGAGGACTGACTAGTGTTACATGCCTTCTCAAGAGGACTGACTAGCGTTACATGCCTTCTCTTGAGGACTGACTAGCGTTACATGCCTTCCCAAGAGGACTGACTAGCGTTACATGCCTTCTCTTGAGGACTGACCAGCGTTACATGCCTTCTCAAGAGGACTGACCAGCGTTACATGGCTTCTCTAGAGGACTGACCAGCGTTACATGGCTTCTCTAGAGGACTGACCAGCGTTACATGGCTTCTCTTGAGGACTGACCAGCGTTACATGGCTTCTCTAGAGGACTGACCAGCGTTACATGCCTTCTCTAGAGGACTGACCAGCGTTACATGCCTTCTCTTGAGGACTGACTAGTGTTACATGGCTTCTCTTGAGGACTGACCAGCGTTACATGGCTTCTCAAGAGGACTGACTAGTGTTACATGGCTTCTCTAGAGGACTGACCAGCGTTACATGCCTTCTCTTGAGGACTGACCAGCGTTACATGGCTTCTCTTGAGGACTGACCAGCGTTACATGCCTTCTCTTGAGGACTGACTAGCGTTACATGCCTTCTCATGAGGACTGACCAGCGTTACATGGCTTCTCTTGAGGACTGACTAGCGTTACATGTCTTCTCTTGAGGACTGACTAGCGTTACATGCCTTCTCTTGAGGACTGACTAGCGTTACATGCCTTCTCTTGAGGACTGACTAGCGTTACATGCCTTCTCTTGAGGACTGACTAGCGTTACATGCCTTCTCTTGAGGACTGACCAGCGTTACATGGCTTCTCTTGAGGACTGACCAGCGTTACATGGCTTCTCTAGAGGACAAACTAGCGTTACATGCCTTCTCTTGAGGACTGACCAGCGTTACATGCCTTCTCTTGAGGACTGACTAGCGTTACATGCCTTCTCTAGAGGACTGACCAGCGTTACATGCCTTCTCTAGAGGACTGACCAGTGTTACATGCCTTCTCTTGAGGACTGACCAGCGTTACATGGCTTCTCTTGAGGACTGACCAGCGTTACATGGCTTCTCTAGAGGACTGACCAGCGTTACATGGCTTCTCTAGAGGACTGACTAGCCTTACATGCCTTCTCTAGAGGACTGACCAGCGTTACATGCCTTCTCTAGAGGACTGACCAGCGTTACATGCCTTCTCTTGAGGACTGACCAGCGTTACATGCCTTCTCAAGAGGACTGACCAGCGTTACATGACTTCTCTAGAGGACTGACCAGCGTTACATGCCTTCTCTTGAGGACTGACCAGCGTTACATGGCTTCTCTTGAGGACTGACCAGCGTTACATGGCTTCTCAAGAGGACTGACCAGCGTTACATGGCTTCTCTAGAGGACTGACTAGTGTTACATGGCTTCTCTTGAGGACTGACCAGCGTTACATGGCTTCTCTTGAGGACTGACCAGCGTTACATGCCTTCTCAAGAGGACTGACTAGTGTTACATGGCTTCTCTTGAGGACTGACCAGCGTTACATGGCTTCTCAAGAGGACTGACTAGTGTTACATGGCTTCTCTAGAGGACTGACCAGCGTTACATGCCTTCTCTTGAGGACTGACCAGCGTTACATGGCTTCTCTTGAGGACTGACCAGCGTTACATGCCTTCTCTTGAGGACTGACTAGCGTTACATGCCTTCTCATGAGGACTGACCAGCGTTACATGGCTTCTCTTGAGGACTGACTAGCGTTACATGTCTTCTCTTGAGGACTGACTAGCGTTACATGCCTTCTCTTGAGGACTGACTAGCGTTACATGCCTTCTCTTGAGGACTGACTAGCGTTACATGCCTTCTCTTGAGGACTGACTAGCGTTACATGCCTTCTCTTGAGGACTGACCAGCGTTACATGGCTTCTCTTGAGGACTGACCAGCGTTACATGGCTTCTCTAGAGGACAAACTAGCGTTACATGCCTTCTCTTGAGGACTGACCAGCGTTACATGCCTTCTCTTGAGGACTGACTAGCGTTACATGCCTTCTCTAGAGGACTGACCAGCGTTACATGCCTTCTCTAGAGGACTGACCAGTGTTACATGCCTTCTCTTGAGGACTGACCAGCGTTACATGGCTTCTCTTGAGGACTGACCAGCGTTACATGGCTTCTCTAGAGGACTGACCAGCGTTACATGGCTTCTCTAGAGGACTGACTAGCCTTACATGCCTTCTCTAGAGGACTGACCAGCGTTACATGCCTTCTCTAGAGGACTGACCAGCGTTACATGCCTTCTCTTGAGGACTGACCAGCGTTACATGGCTTCTCTTGAGGACTGACCAGCGTTACATGGCTTCTCTAGAGGACTGACCAGCGTTACATGGCTTCTCTAGAGGACTGACCAGCGTTACATGCCTTCTCTTGAGGACTGACTAGCGTTACATGCCTTCTCTAGAGGACTGACCAGCGTTACATGGCTTCTCTAGAGGACTGACTAGCGTTACATGCCTTCTCTAGAGGACTGACCAGCGTTACATGGCTTCTCTAGAGGACTGACCAGCGTTACATGCCTTCTCTTGAGGACTGACCAGCGTTACATGGCTTCTCTTGAGGACTGACCAGCGTTACATGGCTTCTCTCGACCGGCCTGATGTGGCGCACCACCTGTGACCTGGGAAACAAAGATGACCACACAACAGTGAGACTGTAATATCTCACGAAACTAACCGGGAAGGCTAACCTTGTCAACAAATGCCTGCAGAAGTGTGATGTGTCAGCCAAAAGGAGCAAATATTGCAGCTGTAAACGGGCACAATGCAATGACATCTTTGGATAAACGAAGAAGAAAAAGAAGAATCAGCATTTGATAAAGATTTTAAAAAAAAATTGGTAAGTCTTGTGATAAAATATCAAATTCAGTTTTGGAATTTGAGAAAGATAAAATATTGTATTGTTGCATTTTAAAACTTAGAAAAGAGGAAAGATAGCTAAATTCTTGATTAAGTGTAGGAAGAATAAAAAGTAACCAGAATTAGAACAAAAAGTAACCAGAATTAGAACAAAAAAATAACCAGAATTAGAACAAAAAGTAACCAACATTAGAACACAAAATAACTAGAATAAGAACAAAAAGTAACCAGAACTGTTGTCATAAATTCTGAATGATCAAATCAGGAATATTCTGTTAAAACATTTGCCAGATAAGATTAGCATAAGCTAATACTCTGGAGTATGTCACAGTGAAGAAACAGTTGGATGAAAAAGAGGCAGTTAGTTGCGGTTCCAATTTCTCTGTAGACAAGTCTCTCCATATCTAATCCATGCCTGAGTCAGTGGAAATCACACAAAATGTCCTTTACTTTCTCATTTGAAAACTAGTGAAAAACTTGTCAGTCCCAGCAAAACCTTGAAGCTTGCACATGCAGAGTAAAAATGCATAAGGCAACTGTCAGATGTGCCACCACTGACTGTCCCACATCAGAATTGCAGCTCACTTTTGGCGAAAACAGTCAGTAATAAAAGCCAGCATTGCACCCACAAAAGTACTGCCACTTGTAACTTAATCGGGCACCCGCTGTTTTAGTGCAATCAACAACAGAAGCACAACAGAAAAAACTTTCCATGTAAAATCCACGGCTCACAGTACCACAGCAGGCACTCAACTCGGTAACTGGGCGACGGAATCTTTGGACTTCTTTTTTATTAATCGAGAATTTGTATCAGTGAAACCTACCTGGAAATAAAAATAACTTTTCAGAGCGTCAGCGATCAGGGGGCTGTCGGCCATTTTGGCCAGAGGTCATGCGAAAAGAAGCAGGTGGAAACTAAGATTGAAGCTGTAAGACATTTTGACATCATGACATAGAGGAAGATTTGTATCGTAAATGTTTGGCAGTCTGTGAGACAGAAGGCTGCGGACAGACAAAACAACCCATGTCAGATGACATTGGCGTGGAAAAAAAGTTGATGTTGATGAAGATTGTGTTTTAACTTGGGCATGTTTCATTGTTGGGAAATTTGATTATAGCAATAAAACTGTTAGAATTCATGTTAAAAGAAATGACCAATCTTGTAGAACTCTAGAAAGTTGTCATAGAGCTCAAGAAAAATTCCAGCAGTACCCTGGGAAGATGTGGGCATTAATGTGAAAGATTCTGGTAGAGTGTGAGAAAGATTGTATTAAAAAAAAACACATACACACACAAAACATGTCAAATAGTGTATGCTGTAGTTTAAAAGAAAATATAGTTTAAAAAAATACATAGTTAAAAAAAATAGTTTTAAAAAAATATAGTGAAAAAAAAATAGTTTAAAAAAATAGTTTGAAAAAAAAATACTATGAAAAACAATATAGTAAAATAAAAAATTGTTTAAAAAAAATATAGTTAAAAAAAATATAGTTAAAATAACTAGTGAAAAAAAAACACTAGTTAAAAAAAAATATATTTAAAAAAATAGGGGGAAAAAATATAGTTTAAAAAAATATAGTTAAAAAAAAATATATCGTTAAAAAAAAAAAAAACTGACATGTTCTCCGTGACCACAGTCTGGCTGATCAAATGAGGCTACTCAACTACCCTCAGTGGATGGAGCTGTTGAGCAATGTCTTCGCCAACTTGATGGTCCTCCTCAACAGAGCTAAGGTTAGTATGTGAAAGTAAGGACCCTTTCTTCATGCTATTGGGCATATAGGGCTAGACATATATTTTATCGACCAGTTGGCACTTTTTGGGTGATGTGAACATCACTTCGGCCGCCTTTACTTCACAGGACTTTACCTGATACCAATTTAAGGCTGGGTCAACCTGGAAGCCACAGTAATTTTTGAAACAAATCCGGCTCCATCAGGACCAGAACCCAAGACCTTCAGGTCGGCAGGTAAGCATCTAGCCACTTCCTCTATGGCAGCTCCCAGAGCCAGGTTAGTTCGTAACAACAGACAATCATTCCGTTCTTGTTTGTATAGACCATTGGTTTTATTGTCCAGCTTCCTCTGGGATAGAATCTGGCTTATTCTTTATTACTTACCGCGAAGTTCATTCATCCTGTTATAACAGAACATGTCATTACTTAGCTATTTACAGTATTTTTAGTCTTTGTTGATCTGATATCAGTGACGATGAGCAATGCTGATAGATCTGTTGCCATTGACAATCCCACGTAAGATATCCATGCAAGAAGCACTCTTCAGTCAAATCCAAGCCTGTGATTTGAAGTGATTGCCTCTGCACCATATTAATTTTGACTGCAAATGCAAATCATAATTTCAAAAGTTCAAAGCTTAAAATAGCACAGTTGACTTAGGCTGCGAAGTCTGATTGACATATGAAAATGTCACGTCACTACTCTTCACTGTTTGGGAGGAATTCTTGTGACAGACATATTGATTTCATGTTTTACTGTATAGATACCAGGTGGTGTTGCTTATCATGTCTGCACATCCATAGCTTCCTGTCTCATCTATTAACCATTAATTCTCTCTCCGTCACTCTCACTCTCTCTCTCTCTCTCTCTCTCTCTCTTGTGTAACAGTTTGTCTCACTCTCAGAGACACTCTCTTGTCTCTCTCTATCTCTCTCTCTCTCACACAGACTCTATCTCAATCTCTCTGTCTCTGTCACTGTCTCTCTCACTTTCTTGTGTGTCTCTCTCTCTCACTATCTTTCATTCTGTCTCTTTCACTCTCTCTCACTCTCTCTGTGTGCGTAAAGATAGGTGGAAAAGGGGAGAGGTGGTAAACACAATTTATCCCCCCCCCCCAAAAAAAAGACAGAACCTTTGTAGTTGTCAGCTCTGTGATTGCATGTTTGTTTCAGGCATTTTACGGAGTGGTCACAGATGTTGTGGGTATTGCTGCTGGCAAGGCCAAAGTTCCCTCTGCCAGGTCACCAGAGTCAGGTCAAAGTTCAGAATTGGTGGAAACTGAACATCTCAAAGTCCCAGTGTAAGAGTTAATTAATTACTTGTTGCACTTTGATCTACATATTAATTACTTGTTGCACTTTGATCTACAAATTAATTACTTGTTGCACTTTGATCTACATATTAATTACTTGTTGCACTTTGATCTACATATTAATTACTTGTTGCACTTTGATCTACATATTAATTACTTGTTGCACTTTGATCTACATATTAATTACTTGTTGCACTTTGATCTACATATTAATTACTTGTTGCACTTTGATCTACATATTGATGATTACTTGTTGCACTTTGATCTACATATTAATTACTTGTTGCACTTTGATCTACATATTAATTACTTGTTGCACTTTGATCTACATATTAATTACTTGTTGCACTTTGATCTACAAATTAATTACTTGTTGCACTTTGATCTACATATTAATTACTTGTTGCACTTTGATCTACATATTAATTACTTGTTGCACTTTGATCTACATATTAATTACTTGTTGCACTTTGATCTACATATTAATTACTTGTTGCACTTTGATCTACATATTAATTACTTGTTGCACTTTGATCTACATATTGATGATTACTTGTTGCACTTTGATCTACATATTAATTACTTGTTGCACTTTGATCTACATATTAATTACTTGTTGCACTTTGATCTACATATTAATTATTTGTTGCACTTTGATCTACATATTAATTACTTGTTGCACTTTGATCTACATATTAATTACTTGTTGCACTTTGATCTACATATTAATTACTTGTTGCACTTTGATCTACATATTAATTACTTGTTGCACTTTAATCTACATATTGATGATTACTTGTTGCACTTTGATCTACATATTAATTACTTGTTGCACTTTGATCTACATATTAATTACTTGTTGCACTTTGATCTACATATTAATTACTTGTTGCACTTTGATCTACATATTAATTACTTGTTGCACTTTGATCTACATATTAATTACTTGTTGCACTTTGATCTACATATACGGCATCAGGGATATGTTACATTCAGTGGTCATGTCGTAGGAAAGGGAGCACTAGAACATGTCCTGATAGTGAGGTAGAGGGAGACCAACAGGATCTGGACAGTTAGGAATTTTAGCATGAAGAACATCTGTATTAGATAGAAATGATATTACACGTATCTTTCATTGAATTTCAAAGAGGGGGGGGGGGGGGGGGAGAGAAAGTACTAACATGCTATGCAGGGGGGGGGGAGAGAAAGTACTAACATGCTATGCTGGGGGGGGGAGAGAAAGTACTAACATGCTATGCAGGGGGGGGGGGAGAGAAAGTACTAACATGCTATGCAGGGGGGGGAGAGAAAGTACTAACATGCTATGCAGGGGGGGGGGAGAGAAAGTACTAACATGCTATGCAGGGGGGGGGGGGGAGAGAAAGTACTAACATGCTATGCAGGGGGGGGGGGGAGAGAAAGTACTAACATGCTATGCAGGGGGGGGGGGGAGAGAAAGTACTAACATGCTATGCAGGGAGTGGGGGGGAAAGTACTAACATGCTATGCAGGGAGTGGGGGGGGGAAGTACTAACATGCTATGCAGGGAGGGGGGGGGGAGAATGTACTAACATGCTATGCAGGGAGGGGGGGAGAGAAAAGTACTAACATGCTATGCAGGGGGGGGGGAGAGAAAGTACTAACATGCTATGCAGGGGGGGGGGGAGAGAAAGTACTAACATGCTATGCAGGGGGGGGGGGAGAGAAAGTACTAACATGCTATGCAGGGGGGGGGGAGGAGAGAAAGTACTAACATGCTATGCAGGGGGGGGGGGGGAGAGAAAGTACTAACATGCTATGCAGGGGGGGGGGGGAGAGAAAGTACTAACATGCTATGCAGGGGGGGGGGGGAGAGAAAGTACTAACATGCTATGCAGGGGGGGGGGAGAGAAAGTACTAACATGCTATGCAGGGGGGGGGAGAGAAAGTACTAACATGCTATGCAGGGGGGGGGGGGAGAGAAAGTACTAACATGCTATGCAGGGGGGGGGAGAGAAAGTACTAACATGCTATGCAGGGGGGGGGGAGAGAAAGTACTAACATGCTATGCAGGGGGGGGGGGAGAGAGAAAGTACTAACATGCTATGCAGGGGGGGGGGGAGAGAAAGTACTAACATGCTATGCAGGGGGGGGGGGGGGAGAAAGTACTAACATGCTATGCAGGGGGGGGGGAGAGAAAGTACTAACATGCTATGCAGGGAGTGGGGGGGAAAGTACTAACATGCTATGCAGGGGGAGGGGGGGGGGGGAGAATGTACTAACATGCTATGCAAGGAGGGGGGGAGAGAAAGTACTAACATGCTATGCAGGGGGGGGGGGAGAGAAAGTACTAACATGCTATGCAGGGGGGGGGGGGGGGGGAGAAAGTACTAACATGCTATGCAGGGAGGGGGGGGGAGAGAAAGTACTAACATGCTATGCAGGGAGGGGGGGGAGAGAGAAAGTACTAACATGCTATGCAGGGAGGGGGGGAGAGAAAGTACTAACATGCTATGCAGGGGGGGGGGGGGGAGAGAAAGTACTAACATGCTATGCAGGGGGGGGGAGAGAAAGTACTAACATGCTATGCAGGGGGGGGGGGAGAGAAAGTACTAACATGCTATGCAGGGGGGGGGGGGGGAGAGAAAGTACTAACATGCCATGCAAGGGGGGGGGGGGGGAGAGAAAGTACTAACATGCTATGCAGGAGGGGGGGAGAGAAAGTACTAACATGCTATGCAGGGGGGGGGGGGAGAGAAAGTACTAACATGCTATGCAGGGGGGGGGGGGGGGAGAGAAAGTACTAACATGCTATGCAGGGGGGGGGGGAGAAAGTACTAACATGCTATGCAAGCCTATCTACTATGTGTCAGTGAATCTTCAGATGTTAATATACAAATTAGGAAAAGCTTGGAGACAAGGGAAATACAGTTTTTAATAGACATGTTGGGAATACCTTTACTACCAATAATTGCCTTCAAAAAAATTTAAGCTAATCTGTTCATGCAAGTATCTCAGACTGCAGAACTTGTGCAAGAACTTTTATATAAACACACTGTGTCCGTAAAGTCATGGTACACTTTTGACCTGTCACAGGAAAGCAACGAAAGAAGACAGATTCCCGGATATGATGCTCTTAGACTTTTACTTTTGGGGTTATATGAAGCAACATGTGTACAGTGAACGTATCAACGACATTTATTTATTTAAAACAGAATCACAGGCGTTATTTACTTTGTTACGCCAGACATCTTTAGCTTTACATTATCGCAACTCCGGTCATCTTCACATTATCACAACCACGATCGGTTTCACATTATCACAACCCCGGTCAGCTCCACATTATCACAACCCCGGTCAGCTTCACATTATCACAACCATGGTCAGCTCCACATTATCACAACCACGGTCAGCTCCACATTATCACAACCCCGGTCAGCTTCACATTATCACAATTACGGTCAGCTCCACATTATCACAACAACGGTCAGCTTCACATTATCACAACCAGGGTCAGCTTCACATTATCACAACTACAGTCAGCTTCACATTATCACAACCCCGGTCAGCTTCACATTATCACAACCCCGGTCAGCTTCACATTATCACAACCACGGTCAGCTCCACATTATCACAACCACAATCAGCTCCACATTATCACAACCACAATCAGCTCCACATTATCACAACCATGGTCAGCTCCACATTATCACAACCACAATCAGCTCCACATTATCACAACCACAATCAGCTCCACATTATCACAACCACGGTCAGCTTCACATTATCACAATCAGCTCCACATTATCACAACCACAATCAGCTCCACATTATCACAACCACGGTCAGCTTCACATTATCACAATCACAATCAGCTTCACATTATCACAACCACGGTCAGCTCCACATTATCACAACCACAATCAGCTCCACATTATCACAACCACAGTCAGCTCCACATTATCACAACCACAATCAACTTCACATTATCACAACCACAATCAGCTTCACATTATCACAACCACAGTCAGCTCCACATTATCACAACCACGGTCAGCTTCACATTATCACAACCACAATCAGCTCCACATTATCACAACCACGGTCAGCTTCACATTATCACAACCACAGTCATCTTCACATTATCACAACCCCGGTCAGCTTCACATTATAAAAAACTTAAACAACAAGTGAATGTTGCTGCTACACAACCTATATCTGGACATGACATAAATTTACAGTATCCCAAATAGGAGCAAGAATACACAGAATTACTTCACTGAAATGTCTTTTCAGTGAAATCACATTTTTGTCTGGCCAGGGGACTGCAGCATGGTCTCGAGGCATGGTGTCCGCCTCGAGTGCTAGAGGTTCCAGGTTCAATACTCGGTGAGAGCTGGGATTTTTCTATGTGGACTTGACTTCTAGTAATTCCCCCTGGTCTCTGGGTAGTGTGATCGGACACCCAAGTGCATTTTTGCGCACGTAAAAAATCCTTTGGCAGTTGAAAATCGAAAAGAATAGCCTTACGGTGCTGCCTGGGCAAAATTTGGAGTTAAAAATCTACCCAAAGTATTTCAGGAACCTCGCCTGTGCTACAGAGCCTGTGCACTGTGCTGAGGTTCTTTGGACTCAGACCAGTTAGAAGTAGAATGGAGCACTTATGGGTTACTACCCTTGTGCTGTGATGTTCTTTGGACTCAGACTTGAGTTAGAAGTAGAATGGAGCACTTATGGGTTACTACCCTTGTGCCATGATGTTGTTCCGTTATATTCAAAACCTCAAAACTAGCATATAATAAACGACAAGGGACATAACTCAGAAATATTAACTAAAACTGTTGGATGTTAAGTCCCCTAGATAAATTGGCAAACGGGGAGCAAAACTGATGACTATCTAAGATAGGGCTAGGGAGGAATGTTACTAAAGAAGTTCATTCATAACATCAAAGACTGAAATCTTAGGGATATGAATGTGTCTGCCTCTAGTGAGGTACATGTTGATGATGAAAAAGATTTAACTTCTTTTGTGATTATATTTTTTCAGGGTTGATGATGTTGATGTCTTGATCAGCAACGCAGAGTTTGAAACGGTGCAGGCTTACCTGAAGGATATGTTGTTTGCCATCTGTGATTATGCTCATGATAGATGTGTCAAGGTCATGGTTGCAAGGGCAAAGGTGAGAGGTGACAGTGGGTATTTCAAGCTGGTATCATAGTTCTAAAATATGTAAAATATTTTAGGCAAGCCTGCAGTCTATTCTATAATTTCCCAAATTATAAATCTTCATTTTTGAAAGGTGCATTAAAATTTTTGATTGCCACGTGTTTTATAGATAGAAACTAGTTTCATTATTGTATTTAGTTCCTCCATTTATAGTATCATTAAGGAAAAGTTAATTGAACTCTTTCAGTCCGAAAAAAAATCTCATTAGAGATGCCTAACAAGTACTTAGCAGTAATGTAGATAAAGATAGGGGAACTGATAGAGATTTTAAAATACGAATACAAACAACATTGCATTAGGGAATTTGTGGAGCTTATAGTTTTTAATTCTAATGTGAAATTAGTATTTTTTATAGAGTGGAAACATAGAAAACAGCTAAGGCAATTACTAATAAACTAGAGACATTTATTAATTGAAAATAGATCTTTATCAACAATTATTGATAGTACATAGGATAAAAGGTTGTGGACAGATATGATTACTATGCCGCATGGCATTGAGTGTAAGAAGCAGTGTATCTTTCTCAAGTATATATGATATCTTTGAGGCGAGAGTGCATTTTAGCTTGTAAATTATTCCCAAATGTTCACCGAATCACTGAGAGAAAGCACATACAAACATGCATTATTCACCACCTCTATACAAATGTTCTTTTGACAACTCTGGTTAGGATGGGTTCCTGGAGCGCTTGTCGTCTGCTGAGTTTGTGGCTCTGTCCCGACATATTGAAACATTTGTTGCCGACACAGAGCAGGTGTGCGGCAGGAAAAGTATGTCTCTGCGTGGAGTCTTGCAGGCGCAGGTAAGAACATGAACTTTCACCATACTTCCTGTTGCTGTGTTGCTGTTGGTTTCAGCTGTGCTTAGAGGGCTGAGTGTTCTCAAGGTTTGGCGTCCGCCTCGAGTGCTGGAGGTTCCGGGTGAAGGCTAGGACTTTTTCACGTGGGCTTCTAATAAATTCCCCCGGTCTCTGGGTAGTAAGATCGGACGCCCATGTGTATTGTTGCGTGCTTTTAAAAAAATCCCTTGGCAGTTGTAAATCGAAAAGAGTAGCCTAATGGGCAAAATTTGGCATTAAAAATCTACCCAAAAGTATTTCAGGATCCTCACCGGTGCTACGGAGTTCGTGCACTGCGCTGATATTTTTTTGACTCAGGCTTGAGTAAGAAGTAAAACTGAGCACTTATGGGTTACTATTCTTGTGCCATGATGTTGATCCGTTGTATAAACCAAACCAGCTGTGCTTAGCATTTATTTCTGTCCGAGTCACTAACAGGACAGTGTGTTTAAGGTTGCCACCAGTCCCCCACAGTTTGTCTTGCAATCTAGTGTCCGTGAGCCAGACCCTAAACCACAGCTGGGAGTAGATGGAGCACTTCTGCAGCACATGTTTGGGAGTCAGTCTCATCCATGGTCACAGGTGGCAGATTTAGACATATTGAGCAGTTAGGACTGCACCTGTACTTTTAATAGACCAATCAGCACTTGGTGAGTGATGTGGTCAGCTTCACACCCTCCGCCTTTACTTCCCAGAGTTGTACCTGGTACCCAATAAAAGCTTAGTCCACCTGGGAACCAAGATTCTGGTGGTATACAAACATTTTTTCTGTAGTTTCTGGCTGTTGTTAATCAGCACCTGTCAGTCTCTCCAGACAATAAGTTATATTGTGCCATATAACAGGTAAAGTAAAGGACCGTTTTCCACACCTTTTGTGCATATTGAGTGTATAAGGCCAGACCTATATTTTATAGACCAAGCGGAACTTGGTGTGTAATGTTGTCAGCATCACACCAGCTGCCTTTACTTTCCAGGACTACGTGGTACCCACTCAAGGCTGGATCAACCTAGGAGCCAAAGTCATTTTTGAAAAAAAATACGGCCTTCGCCAGGAACCGAACCCACAGCATTCCGGTCCGCAGGCGAGCGTCTAGCCACTAGACCACGGCGGCTCGCTATTGTGCCATATGGAGACATGAAAATCACAGCCTGTGGGGATGGCCAGTATAAACCAAACCAACTGTGCTTAACATTCATGTCATTCTACCTATGTAACTACTTAACCCACCTTGTCTGTCTCCTTGTCTACGTGTATATCTGTGTACCTGTCTATCTATGCACCTGTCTGTCTATTTGTTTATGTGTATGTCTGTACACCTGTCTATCTTTGCACCTGTCTGTCTGCTTGTCTACATCTATTCACCTGTTTATCTATTCACCTGTCTATCTATATTTTAAAAGTAGTGGTGTTTATTTTGGCCACATTGAGAAAGTGGTCTACCAAGAAAGTCCTTCCTGCGGAACACACCAGGCAAAGAATAGAGGGAGAGCTAAAAACACACACAGAGGGGTATTAGAGACATGAATATCAAGGGGAGGACATGAAACAGCTGCAGGGGGTGACAAAGTATCTCAGGACTTGGTCTGGATCTGGCAGAGCTTGAGGTCATACGGATGAGATGGATGGATTGTATATGTGAGGCCGTAAACATCATCATTCACGTAGCAGACACAAAGGCTTGCACCAGAGCTCTATTCAGTCTGACCATGAAAGTCAGAATAACGACTAGACAGAAGAGGAAAGGCCTGATTTCATTGAGGCTATGGGCTTCTTGAGGCATAACAGGCAGAAGAAAAAGAAGGAGATGGGGGTTTCTAATACAGGGTGTCCCACAAGTTTCTGTCAATAGGAAAAATAAACTGATTTCAAGCATACCTCCAGCTGTGCTTATAGTGTCCTTTAGCCTTAGAGGACACGCATGAAAATGTTTTTCACAACAATGGTAGTCATTTAAAGCAAACTATATAAATAAAAATCATAAATAAAATAAAAATGCTTATTTTTCATATGTATGGACACTTAAGGGGCAGAAACTGTGTAAGATTGCAGATGACGCGTTGCAGTAAAATGTGGTTACCAGTGCTGGTTAGCAGAGCACGTGATGATGATACATATAAAGAAAGTACTTGTTTTTTCTCGTTCTTCTAGGCAAACAAGTTTGTTGCACGCTTTCATGAGGAACGGAAAAACAAACTCAGGTAAGTCAAGATACACTGTTCTCTATCATTTAATGTGTCTTCACTTTCTCTGTAAGAAAATGTGTATTTTCTCTGTAAGAAAATGTGTAAATTAATCTCTGAAGGGTGGAGAAACTTGAAAGTTTGATGCCGACCTTTGACCTGAATAGGCCTGAATCATTCCTTGTTGCAGACAATGTTAAATTTACAAAATAATAAACATGAAGATTGCTTACCTCCCCCGATCATGGGGTACTGGATTTGATATATAATCTTCTCAAATAATGGTGAAAAACCCGGGAGAACTTGCCTGCAGGTGGTGCTTTTTTCCTGCAGTTGCGAAATAAAATGAGCAACCCAAATAACCACTCGGATGGAAACGCTCAGCCACACATCAAATTTCTAAAGAAGAAAGTTGAGTCCATCAAAAGGCACAAATAACAGATACACAGCAGTTTTCGGATGGTCAGAGAAGCAGGTGAATAAAATAACCCACTCTGTAAATGAAAATCTCATCCCCTAAAAAATGGACTCCAAGGTCACTCCAGCCTAAAATGGCTGCCAGGTAATGTTCATGGAAGTAAAGGCGGCTGGTGTGATACTGAACATATTCTTAAAATTATTTTTTCACGATTGGTTGTGATCTGATGTTTAGTACGTCTGCTAGTCTGGTCTGATGTTTGGCCAGTTTTTTTTTGTAATGAATTAATGGAGACTTCCTAAAAGTAATTAACACACACACACAAATAAAGGTTCTGATATATTTAAATGAAATACAAGAGGATGAAAACGATGAAAGAAAGCATGGGATGGATCAAGGGAAAAATCTGCAAGACTGATGTGCACTGGTCTGTCAGTACTGAAAGACGTGATGACAGACAGTGTTAGCGTAGAATGTCTAAGAAGCTGCATGATCAGCTCATTGGCTGAAATGGTTGATGATGGTGATAATGATAAATGGTTTTTTTTTCCCTATGCTGGTATTTATATAATATTGTTGATGCTTTTTGTCTGTTAGTTTGATCTTGGACAATGAGAGGTGGAAGCAGGCAGACGTCCCAGCAGAGTTTCAGGATCTGGTTAATCACATCATCAAAACTGGTAGACATTTGAAAACTTTTGTGCTAAAAATGTCTTTTGTTAACTCGAGTTATTTGCAATATATATTAGGGCTGTATCGAATATTCGCTTCGTATTCGCTTCAGGGCCGAATAGTGAACTTACTTAATAACTATTCGGTATGCGGCCGAATACTTGTGGTCGGGCCGAATACGAGTAGTGGTTACCTTACACCGTTTATGCATACACTGCGATAGATTGAAATAACTCTCTCATTAACACAATAGTTTATGCTTCCTAAGTCTGTCGTAGCGGGGGCAACTGCGACCCGGTTGCGTGGTACAGCATCCAGTTTTAACATATGGCTGTGAGTTCTGGACAATCGGTAGGCAGGCCAAACAATTTCTTGAGGCCTCATAGATGTGATTTTACAGAACAATGCTTAAAATACAATAGACAGAAAGAAAAAAAGCAGCCAAGAGGTTTTGAAAGAGGCGGGAGCCCCAAGACAACTCATCACAGACATCAGAAGGAGACAGTCATTTTTTTTGTCAGCCATGTTATGAGAAGAGGGAAAATGGAACATTTGGTGACCACTGGAAAGATCTGTGGACGGTGGGATAGAGGAAGACAACGAGAGAAGATTCTTGACAGTCTTGTTGCATGGCATGGAGGTGTGTCAGCACACGAACTAAAACATGCTGCAGGAGATCGCAGATTGTGGCTAGTCGGCAAGGCACCTGATGATGATGATACACTATTCGTATTTGTATTCGGCCGGATAGCTGGTCCCACTATTCGTATTCGGCCGAATAGTGAAAATCCCTGTTCGGTACAGCCCTAATATATATATATCAGGTTCTGGAAGTGACTGATGAATATTACAAGTGATGAGATAATACCTAGACGATGAAACTGCTGACAAGGACTGTACATGATGAGATAACACCTAGATGATGAAACTGCCGACACTGACTGTCGGTGTGTTGGGAAATTAACAGATGGACAGATTGGTTGGCTCTGCACAACTTAGTGGAAAACTGATGCGTGGTAAGGCAAACGTGGTTAAGGTCTTATGAAAGCACGTGTACAATTCGGAGAGGCAAATGGATCACTAGTTTGGTGAGAGTGATGCAGCGAGGAGTGACGAAGGGATCTGGCTGTTATTCGATGCTCAGAGGAAAGAGAAGATGGATGTATAATCAGATTGCTGCTAGTATCAGTGGTGTTGGAACTCTTTGCTGGCTGCTGAAGATGGGGACGGAGTGCTTATGGGAATGCCCCAAGTGCTGTGATGTCAGTTTTTGAATCAGTTCAACTCAGCTCAACTCTTTTCTCTCCATGAAGGTTACTCATCCTCGCTTAGCATTTCTCGAGAAAACAGCTTGTACATACAACTCCATGTTTAGCTCTTGGCCTTCACTCAGTCTACAACTTGGTCGCTAGTTTCTGATCTGGCCAAACGCCAGGGTTTTCGAGGATGTCGTCGGGTTCCCTGTGGGGTTCCTTAATTGAACATCATTAGAAATATCCTGAACATTAGCTGGTACCAAGTTCATCATTGTTGACCTTGCAGGCAATGTCATTTTATACAAATCTGACTCATGCAGATTTGTACTTTTGTCAAAAGCCAAGCATCTTCTAGCTCAGGGCTATTCAACTGGTCCGCAAAGACCTAACAAAGTGGCCCGCGGATCATTGCTAGTCCTCTGGTATTAATGATCTTTCTACACTGGGAGCTTCTGACCCGCGACGATCCCAATTTTCAAATGCCTTCGGAGCAGACTTAGTTGAACCGCACTGCTATAGCTCATGCGCTGACAAGGCACCAAAATAAACCAGTACCTCACAGATTGGACTCCTATGATGGTAGACGAGTTTATATTTGAATGTTTCATTGTAAATTTAATTGTAAAATGTCCATTGTAGAATAGTTTTTTGTGGATGCCCTGTATGTGTGTTTCAGCTATTAGTTAGCAACATTTGGATGTATTAATATGTTGTTGAATGTTAATTTCAGGCACTTTAACTCTTCCAGAGAAACGAACTGACTCAGGTAAGTCAACACTGTTGTCACATCTGTGTAATAGAGCAATGTTAGTTCAGTTTCAAATAACACATGTGTGAGCCTCTTTCAGAATACTTCAGTGACCCAGACTGGCAGTCTAAAGCCATAGTGGGAAACCTTGTTTGGACTGCAGGACAAGTTTAGAATTGCTGGTTGCAGGTCATATTGAAACATCAATTTTAAACTGAACATTCAGATTTTCCTCAAAACACTGTATTTTTGTGGGATTTTCTAAGTTTATAATCCCTCACTAGGCCTCTAGCCAGAAAACATTGTGTGTTTTTCGTTGGCACAGGAGCGGAGCAAAGATGGGGTCACCTGTTTGCTATGAAGCTGAAACTAAGACTACCAGACTACTTACCCACTAAAGCCTTTCAATGTAATTCTACATGTGTCTTTCAAGCTATGGTCCCTGGCTCCTAGGGTATCAGCCCAGATACCTAGTCTTCTCTGACAAGGGCAAAGAGCTCAAAGGAACTGTGTACTTGTTAATACATTAAAGGTCCCTAGGGGATCAGCCCAGATACCTAGTCTTCTCTGACAAGGGCAAAGAGCTCAGAGGAACTGTGTACTTGTTAATACATTAAAGGTCCCTTAGCTGTTAGAAGTTGAACTGAACAGGTTGAATGGGCCGTGCAGCATTTCTAGATTTGAAAAGCTTCTCCCTCACACAAAATAACTTACAGCATAGGTGATTCTTATATACACATATTGGGACCCTTGCCGGTGCTACGGAAGTTTGTGCACTTTGCTGATATTCTTCTTCTGTGAACTATGGAAGATGGAGCTCCTTTGGGGATACCTATGTAAAGTGAAAGTGATGCTTTACAAAACTTTTCCCCCCTCTTTTTCAAATGTCTTCTTACTGTTGATTCCTAACATAGTGCTTGTGTCCGTAATTGTTTCTGCTGCTACGTGTTTTTTTGTTTCATGATGGCCTTGGTTGTTGAGAAGCTCTATTGTGTTATCCAGTGAGATTTCCATTCGCAGTTTATGTTGTTTTGAATACTCTGGTGATAAAGACTTGGGTCAAAATGTTTTGTTGTATTTGTGTACTTCTTTTCCTTTCCTTTGTTGATTGTTGAATGTTGAATTGAGAATTGACATCACAGTACTCGGGACACCCCTATAAGCGCTCCATCCCCATCTCCAGCAGCAAGGGAAGAGTTAAAGTTCCGATGGTACCAGTAACTGTTTGATTGTATATCTGTGTTGCCTTTCCCCTGAGTGTCAAGCGTCGGCCAGATCTCCTTGTAACTCCTCGCAGTGTCATTCTCCTCAGACCGTAATGATCTATCTGTTCCTCGGCACTGTTCACTCGCTCCCAAAGGGTGCTCACAACATCCAGCTTGTCATTCATCAGTTTACCATCAAGTTGTGCAGAACCGGCCAATCTATCTGCCTGCTAATTTCCCAACACACCTTCATGACCTGGAGAAAATATCTAAAGGATGCTGACTACCTGGGACCTTTGAAGTGATGCTTGCCACTCTGCACGGAGCATGCCTGTCTCCACCTTTCTCAACATGCTTTGTGAGTCAGTTACAATGACGACATGTGTGTACAGCTGATTCTCAAGCCAGCAGAAGACAGCAGTGACTGCCTCCACCTCCATTCTCCAGCTAGACGTTGTGATATCGTATGCCAGGCTTTGTTGCACCAAGCGATGTCCGTCCGCCTTCGCTATGAACCCCCATGCACTTCGTCTGCCCCTCAGCACAGAGCCATCTGTATAAACAATCACATCTGTATATACAAATACATCCTTTATTGGACTCTGTATAAACAATCACATCTGTATATACAAATACATCCTTTATTGGACTGTATAAACAATCACATCTGTATATACAAATACATCCTTTTTTTGGACTATCTAATCATATTTTATGTGTTAATAAGTATTTTTTGTTCTATAAAGCAACCTAATGTGTGGAATAGTTTCTCTCTATGCAATTCGACTGCTTTTTTACAGAAAGCAAACCAAAAGAATGTCTGCTGGTGGATGGCGAACAGTTTGCTGTTGTTGGGTAAGGGTTTACAGTTTCTTCTTCTTCTCTCTTTGTCTTCTTAGTGTTCATTGGTTGTGAACTCTGGTGGAAAGTTCTGGTTGTTCATCCACTTGTATACTTTAGTTTTGTTCCAGGACTTGAGCTATGCCTGCATTTCCATTTTACAGATCTGGCTGATTTGTTTGTAGACTGTCCTCTCAGGCAGATGGACTCCAACTTCAGAGGAAACATTCTACTTAGTAGACTTTTATGACATGCTTGTTTGGGAGCTGTTGATTTATGTTTTTTTTTTTCTCTCCCAGAAGGGAGCCTATTTAATTATGCTGTCCAAGGAATTCTAAGAATTAAAACCACATCTCACTGACCTCAAGAAAGCTTTTGCCTTGTTTATTGATTGTTCAGGATTCACAGCCATATGTAAAAACTAGCTCTATATAGTCTGCGAGAATTCTTTTCCTGATCAATTTAACTCTTTCAAGACGACTTTTTGTCTGGGGCTTGGACATATATTTTTTTTTTTTTAACTGCAACATGACAAAGCTAAAACCTTCCTGAAGAAAAGATATTGGCTGTAAAGTGACATGTAATTTATCAAATTAAAGAGAAATGAACACAAAATACATCTAAACTAATAAAGAATCAGTATTACAACAACAAAATATTACAATGACACAACATTCACATATGTCAGACACAGAGGAAGATTTGTTACGCCTGAAATGGTGTGCTTACCTTACTTTTTTGTTTACCTCATCAGCAACACTGCTATCCATTTCTCAGAATTCACATGTCTTCTCTATTTAATTATTTATTTGAGACAATCAGTTCTAAATATTTTATGACCATTTTTGTTTGATATTTCAAACTTGACAGTAACCTAATTCCAGACAGCTGATCGAAACAGGGGTGATCCGACTGAAATATTTTGTTCAACTTGACCCCAACCCATATTATCATCAGTGGGTTTGGCACTTGCATTATTATTGATAATGTCAAGACTGTTGTCATTATCTGGCTCAGATTCATTAACCACAGCAGCAATGTCAGCAGTTCTTCCCTTATCATTTGGTCTGAAAAATCACACATTGTATCAAAAAGTATAGGGCAAATAGGGCTAGACCTATATTCTATAGGTGGGTGATGTGGTCAGCATCACGCCGGCCGCCTTTACTTCCCACGACTGCACTCACTACCCACTTGAAGCTGGGTCAATCTGGGAGCCAAAGTCATTTTTGAAAAAAGTCCGGCTCCGCCAGGAAGCGAACTCACAACCTTCTGATCCATGGCGAGCGTTTAGCCGCTCCACCACGGCGACTCCCTAAATTGTACCATACTGGCTTTATTAAAAATGAATCAAAAATCAAACCTCCGGCCTCACCATGCTTGGAAAATTATAATGCTTCCGCTAATTCTAGTTTTTCCAAACAACTTCATAAAAATCATTTTCCTGGCAAACGAAACAATATTAGAGTGTCTATTGCCAGAGCCACTTAAGTGGTGATATGTCCAAACGTGACATCTTCAGCCAGCCTTAAGTGGCGATAAGTCCTACAAGAGTTAATATAAATGTACAAAGATATATCAGTTGCTGTCGTTGCTGCTGTCTGACAGGACAGTGCTGATGCTGATCAAGATGATGGTGGAGTACTGCCAGTGTGTGGTGGATATTCCGTCTGCTACCCCAGACCTGCTGACTCGACTCGTTGACCTGCTGAAGGTAAGCGTCGTCTTATCAGAGGTTTTTTCTTGTGCTATAAGGTTGGAGTCAAACATGGCAGATCCTCGTGTGGGCTCTTCTTTCACATTATGGTGAAAACATGCGCAACAATACACACGAAAGGCTGATCTTACTACCCAGAGACCAGGGGAAATTACTAGAAGTCCACATGAAAAAATCCCAGTCTTCACTGGGGCTTGAATCCAGAACCTCCAGAACTTAAGGCTGATGCCTTACCTCAAGACCACTCAGCCCCCAGAAGAAGAAGAGTCTGTTTATAAATAACTACAAGAGATGTGTTTACAAGTAGAAGGATGGACTTCATTGGACCTGTTTTATCCAGCCTGGCTCTGTTCTTTGTCTGCAGTGTCTGTCTAATGGGAGCCTCAAATGAAGCACAGATGCTATACTGTCTGCAGTGTCTGTCTAATGGGAGCCTCAAATGAAGCACAGATGCTATACTGTCTGCAGTGTCTGCCTAATGGGAGCCTCAAATGAAGCACAGATGCTATACTGTCTTCAGTGTCTGCCTAATAGGAGCCTCAAATGAAGCATAGATGCTATACTGTCTGCAGTGTCTGCCTAATGGGAGCCTCAAATGAAGCATAGATGCTATACTGTCTGCAGTGTCTGCCTAATGGGAGCCTCAAATGAAGCACAGATGCTATACTGTCTGCAGTGTCTGTCTAATGGGAGCCTCAAATGAAGCACAGATGCTATACTGTCTGCAGTGTCTGCCTAATGGGAGCCTCAAATGAAGCACAGATGCTATACTGTCTGCAGTGTCTGCCTAATGGGAGCCTCAAATGAAGCACAGATGCTATACTGTCTGCAGTGTCTGCCTAATGGGAGCCTCAAATGAAGCACAGATGCTATACTGTCTTCAGTGTCTGCCTAATAGGAGCCTCAAATGAAGCATAGATGCTATACTGTCTGCAGTGTCTGCCTAATGGGAGCCTCAAATGAAGCATAGATGCTATACTGTCTGCAGTGTCTGCCTAATGGGAGCCTCAAATGAAGCACAGATGCTATACTGTCTGCAGTGTCTGTCTAATGGGAGCCTCAAATGAAACACAGATGCTATACTGTCTGCAGTGTCTGCTTAATGGGAGCCTCAAATGAAGCACAGATGCTATACTGTCTGCAGTGTCTGCCTAATGGGAGCCTCAAATGAAGCACAGATGCTATACTGTCTGCAGTGTCTGTCTAATGGGAGCCTCAAATGAAGCACAGATGCTATACTGTCTGCAGTGTCTGCCTAATGGGAGCCTCAAATGAAGCACAGATGCTATACTGTCTTCAGTGTCTGCCTAATAGGAGCCTCAAATGAAGCATAGATGCTATACTGTCTGCAGTGTCTGCCTAATGGGAGCCTCAAATGAAGCATAGATGCTATACTGTCTGCAGTGTCTGCCTAATGGGAGCCTCAAATGAAGCACAGATGCTATACTGTCTGCAGTGTCTGCCTAATGGGAGCCTCAAATGAAGCACAGATGCTATACTGTCTGCAGTGTCTGCCTAATGGGAGCCTCAAATGAAGCACAGATGCTATACTGTCTGCAGTGTCTGTCTAATGGGAGCCTCAAATGAAGCACAGATGCTATACTGTCTGCAGTGTCTGTCTAATGGGAGCCTCAAATGAAGCACAGATGCTATACTGTCTGCAGTGTCTGTCTAATGGGAGCCTCAAATGAAGCACAGATGCTATACTGTCTGCAGTGTCTGTCTAATAGGAGCCTCAAATGAAGCACAGATGCTATACTGTCTGCAGTGTCTGTCTAATGGGAGCCTCAAATGAAGCACAGATGCTATACTGTCTACATTGACAAGCCAGGGATCTAAGGAAAAAACTGCACTCATCAAACAGACAAAGCAGTTTTAGAAAACATGACCCTCAATGAATGGTTTAACCACATCACCATGACGACCTTTGTGGAGCTGTTCTAATCGTTGTAAGGCTGCCTGTTTTTTTTAATTTTGCCTTGATATCTTTATTCTACCACTTACCTCTTGTGAGATATAAGATTTCATTTTGACCATATTGCATTCACACACTTTTCTAGTAGTTATTGTGACTGAGTAACCCAGATGTTTTGAAAGAGGCAGGTGCTCGAAGACAACTTACCACAATCATCAGAGACAGTCATCAATTTTTGATCATGTTAGGAGAAGAGGGAAAATGAAACATGTTGTAGCCACTGGAAAGATTTGTGGAAAGAGAGACAGAGGAAGGCAATGTGAGAAGATTCTTGACAGTCTTTTGTTATGGCATTGAGGGGTGTCAACACACGAACTGATACACGCAGTTGTAGACCACGGATTATGGAGAGGCATGATCACTCAGGCCAGTCGGCAAGGCATTTGATGATAATGATTGTGACTGCTGACTTTGCATCTCTTGTTAATTCCATTCTCGGTTCTGTATTCTTTGACTTCCTGCAGGTGTTTAATTCTCGTACATGTCAGCTGTTGATCGGAGCAGGTGCCCTACAGCTGGTTGGCTTGAAGACAATATCCACTAGAAATTTGGGTAAGTTCACCGTCCTTACCTCCACAGGACTGCAGGTTACACCTGGTTTGATGCTTTCCAGGCCATCGTGAACCAGGCACGAACATGAAAGTATGTCATTGACAAGGACAGCGATTTCCTTGTGGTTTACCACCACATACCACGTACCACACACCATGCACCAAATATAACACACCACACAGGCGACTGCTGAAACTAGCCACCCATGCAAGCAGAAGGAGTTCATTATAAATTTGAAGTTACCCTGATAAGCCACGTGACTATCGTGAGCTTTCAGGGGTTAGACGAACAGTGTATGGAGAGCGACTATGTTATGTCAGTGGAATTACATTGTGTGGACATTATATGTTGCTGTAACTGTAGTTAATGAGATAAGAGAAATATGCCTGGCAATAAACGGTGCAATATATTTTTTGTGTCCGCATTATTTCAATTCACAAAATGTACAGTCCCACACAAGGATTTTGTCAATTTTATTCATGAACGAGGGCATGGCCTCTGACATTAAGCTTAAGGATTATTTATTGAACAACAAATTTTTTATTTTTTTTAAAGAATGAAAGAACCATCACATTATATTAAATGTTGTCATTAATATTGAGTGAATATAGTGGTGCTACAGTTGGGCAGTGCTTGTGGGCAGTTGCACTAGTTGCCACTGATTACATGGAATGGTAAACAGGAGTGGATGTTTGGTGGTGCTACAGTTGGGCAGTGCTTGTGGGCAGTTGCACTAGTTGCCACTGATTACATGGAATGGTAAACAGGAGTGGATGTTTGGTGGTGCTACAGTTGGGCAGTGCTTGTGGGCAGTTGCACTAGTTGCCACTGATTACATGGAATGGTAAACAGGAGTGGATGTTTGGTGGTGCTACAGTTGGGCAGTGCTTGTGGGCAGTTGCACTAGTTGCCACTGATTACATGGAATGGTAAACAGGAGTGGATGTTTGGTGGTGCTACAGTTGGGCAGTGCTTGTGGGCAGTTGCACTAGTTGCCACTGATTACATGGAATGGTAAACAGGAGTGGATGTTTGGTGGTGCTACAGTTGGGCAGTGCTTGTGGGCAGTTGCACTAGTTGCCACTGATTACATGGAATGGTAAACAGGAGTGGATGTTTGGTGGTGCTACAGTTGGGCAGTGCTTGTGGGCAGTTGCACTAGTTGCCACTGATTACATGGAATGGTAAACAGGAGTGGATGTTTGGTGGTGCTACAGTTGGGCAGTGCTTGTGGGCAGTTGCACTAGTTGCCACTGATTACATGGAATGGTAAACAGGAGTGGATGTTTGGTGGTGCTACAGTTGGGCAGTGCTTGTGGGCAGTTGCACTAGTTGCCACTGATTACATGAAATGGTAAACAGGAGTGGATGTTTGGTGGTGCTACAGTGGGGCTGTGCCTATGGACAGTTGCACTAGTTGCCACTGATTACATGGAATGGTAAACAGGAGTGGATGTTTGGTGGTGCTAGTTATGAGTAGCTCAGGCACATTGGTAGGCAGGTAGCTGTATAGACGGGCAGGCTATTTCTCAGACAGGCAGTTTCTCAGACAGGCAGGTTGGTTCTCAGACAGGCAGTTAGTTATATAGACAGACAGTCTGGTTCTCAGATAGATAGATAGTTAGTTAGATAGACAGGCAGGGTGGTTCTCAGACAGGTAGGTAGTTACATAGACAGACAGTCTGGCTCTCAGATAGATAGATAGATAGATAGTTAGATAGACAGGCAGGGTGGTTCTCAGATAGATAGATAGATAGTTAGATAGACAGGCAGGGTGGTTCTCAGACAGGTAGGTAGTTACATAGACAGGCAGGCTGGTTCTCAAAGTTGTTGTTAGATAGGTAGACAGGCAGGCTAGTTCTTAGACTGTTAGGTAGTGATATTGACTTGCAGGCTGGTTCTCAGACTGTTAGGTAGTGATATTGACTTGCAGGCTGGATCTCAGACTGTTAGGTAGTGATATTGACTTGCAGGCTGGATCTCAGACTGTTAGGTAGTGATATTGACTTGCAGGCTGGATCTCAGACTGTTAGGTAGCTAGATTGACAGGCAGGTGGGTAGTTAGACAGGCAGGCTTGTTCTCAGACATGTTGGTAGTAGACAGGCAGGCTGGTTCTCACAGAGGAAGGTAGTGATATAGACAGGTAGGCTGGTTCACAGGCAGGTAGTTAGATTGATAGGCAAGCTGGTTCTCAGACAGACAGGAAGTTAGATTGACAGGCAAGCTGGTTCTCAGACAGGCAGGTAGTTAGATTGATAGGCAAAATGGTTCTCAGACAGACAGGAAGTTAGATTGACAGGCAAGCTGGTTCTCAGACAGACAGGTAGTTAGATTGATAGGCAATCTGGTTCTCAGACAGACAGGAAGTTAGATTGACAGGCAAGCTGGTTCTCAGACAGACAGGTAGTTAGACTGACAGGCAAGCTGGTTCTCACAGGCAGGTAGTTAGATTGACAGGCAGGCTGGTTCTCGGAGAGGAAGGTAGAGATATAGACAGGCAAGCTGATTCTCAGACAGGCAGGTAGTTAGATTGAGAGTTCTCGGATAGTTAGATATTCAAATGGCTAAGCTATCTAGGAATTTATCTTATTTCCTTTCCCTTCCTCTCTCACCATCAGTCTTCTCAGTTGTATATCATATACATTTGGAAAATATATCTGTACCTTTTTTTTTGTTGATGATATGGAGAATTGTGTTTTATTTAAAAAACAATTTTTTGCTTGTGATATTTTCAGCTCTGGCCTGTCGATGCCTGCAGCTTGTTGTACGCTTCCTGCCAGATGTCAAGGCTCATTTTGAACACACACTGCCAGTCAAAAATAGCAACATGCTCAAACATTTTGAAAAAGTCATGAAGGTAGGGCGTTGTAGATGTTTGCTGCAAGGTTCGGTTCTTATTGGTGAAAGTAGTGGTGGTGATTTCTTCTCCTCCTTCCTCCAATTGTTACTTTTGTTTCTTTTTCTATCCTTCTTCCTCCACTTGTGACTTTTGTTTCTTTTTCTCTCCTCCTTCCTCCACTTGTGACTTTTGTTTCTTTTTCTATCCTCCTTCCTCCACTTGTGACTTTTGTTTCTTTTTCTCTGCTCCTTCCTCCACTTGTGACTTTTGTTTCTTTTTCTCTCCTTCCTCTACTTGTGACTTTTGTTTCTTTTTCTCTCCTCCTTCCTGCACTTGTGACTTTTGTTTCTTTTTCTCTCCTCCTTCCTCCACTTGTGACTTTTTTTTCTTTTCTTTTCCTCCTTCCTCCACTTGTGACTTTTGTTTCTTTTTCTCTCCTCCTTCTCCATCTTGTATGTGACCTTTGTTTCTTTTTCTCTCCTCCTTCTCCATCTTGTATGTGACTTTTTTTTCTTTTTCTCTCCTCCTTCTCCATCTTGTATGTCTTATTTTTTTTTTTTTTTCTTCAGATTTTTCATCCTCTTCCACCTCCTCCTCTTTTTTTTTGGGTCTCTTCCTCACCTTCCTCCATGTTTTGGTTTAGTTCCTCTGTGAAGAACTATATTTACTAATCTCTAAGTTATGTATAGTGTGAGTTTCTGTGTTGAGAGAGTTTGTGTGTTGAGAGAGAGTGTGTGTTGAGAGAGTTTGTGCGTTGAGAGATTTTGTGCATTGAGAGAGTTTGTGCATTGAGAGAGTTTGTGTGTTGAGAGAGTTTGTGTGTTGAGAGAGAGTGTGTGTTGAGAGAGTTTTACATGTTGAGAGAGTTTGTGTGTTGAGAGAGTTTGTGTGTTGAGAGAGTTTGTGTGTTGAGAGAGTTTGTGTGTTGAGAGAGTTCATGTGTTGAGAGAGAGTGTGTGTTGAGAGAGTTTTACATGTTGAGAGAGTTTGTGTGTTGAGAGAGTTTGTGCATTGAGAGAGTTTGTGTGTTGAGAGAGTTTGTGTGTTGAGAGAGTTTGTGTGTTAAGAGAGTTTGTGTGTTGAGAGAGTTTGTGTGTTGAGAGAGTTTGTGTGTTGAGAGAGTTTGTGTGTTGAGAGAGTTTGTGTGTTGAGAGAGTTTTACATGTTGAGAGAGTTTGTGTGTAGAGAGAGTTCATGTGTTGAGAGAGTTTGTGTGTTGAGAGAGTTTTATGTTGAGAGAGTTTGTGTGTTGAGAGAGTTTGTATGTTGAGAGAGTTTCTGTGTTGAGAGAGTTTGTATGTTGAGAGAGTTTCTGTGTTGAGAGAGTTTTACATGTTGAGAGAATTTGTGTGTAAAGAGAGTTTATGTGTTGAGAGAGTTTTATGTTGAGAGAGTTTATGTGTTGAGAGAGTTTGTATGTTGAGAGAGTTTGTGTGTTGAGAGAGTTTTACATGTTGAGAGAGTTTATGTGTTGAGAGTTTGAGTGTTAAGAGTTTATGTATAGAGAGAGTTTACGTGTTGAGACTGATGAAATCTCCTCCTCCTGCAGGACTATGATGACCACATAGAGGAGATCAACCTCAAACTGGTGACCATCTCAGAGAACATGGCTGAAGCCCAGCTCTCCAAGGTCTGTCTCATTTTGTTTTTTTTATATTTCATATAGAAGGTAAAGTCGGTAGATGTGAACCAGCGTCAATGCACACGGTTATAAACCATAAGTGCTGTGCCACCAGTACGGACAGCTGATAAGAATTGTCCGCTGTGTCACCGTCCGCACCCAACTCCGTAGCTACAGCAGCGTTCGTCCATTTACCCCAGACTGTTAACCCTGGTACCCATTAACTACATATCATATTATTGTTACTAGAACTGGTATGGGAGCCGCAGTGGTGTAACAGCTGGATGCTCATCTCCAGCCTGAAAGTCTTGAGTTCGTGTCCACCTTGTCAGATTCTTTGTCAAGATGGACCCTGGCTTCCGGGTTCACTTAACCTGAAGTGAGTTCCAGGAGGAGTTCTGGAAGTAAAAGTGGCCGGCATGCTGTTGACCACCTCATACAATCAAGTGTCAGTTGGTCTGTACAATTCAAGCCAACCCCCAAATGCCCGATATGCCTCTGACGGGAAAAGGTCCTTTACTTTTCTGTAATTCTAGGATTGATATAATACTGAAATATTAACCCACAGTTACTCGAGGTGACGCTGTTCGGGTGAGAGTCCAAGCGCAGGAAATACAAGAAATCCCTTTCAGTGGTGTATTTAGAGCAGCAGATGGGTATGAAGTGACCTATCACCTGGTATGAGCTGGGATGGTTGGTCATTGTTCCTCAACAGAATTAATGTCCGTAGGATAAACACCTCATTGATGCCAAGTACCACGCATTTGGTTTTTTTTCTTGATATTCATAATATGCATATTATTATATGAACATAACAAGCGTTATTGATAAAATACAACTGCTCTGTGAATGATGCGTGTTTAGAGGGGCAAATGTAAGACGAGGCCTGCGTGCCCAGTTTGTTCATTCAAGTACTTCCTCTCTCAGCCTCATTTTGCCTCTTGTTCCCTCCGACTTTCCCAGCGTCATTCATGAGGGATGCCGGTTTTTCTCTTTCTCTCAGTATAACCAGATAATGTAGACTGTCTCCTCCTGACAGGGGTCATCAGTTCTCGTCTGGAGTTAGTTTCTGTCATTATTGGTTTTACCTGCCCGTGGTTTTCTCGTCATTCATCTACACAATCACATCTCCACATCCCTGTATGGGTTCTGGGGCCCCGGTCAGATGCAGGGGAGAATAGATCCATTCCCCCCCCAACAATCGATTCGTAAAAGGCGACTAATGTAGCCAGACAGTCATGAATGTAGCCAGACAGTCATGAATGTAGCCAGACAGTCATGAATGTAGCCAGACAGTCATGAAGGTAGCCAGACAGTCATGAAGGTAGCCAGACAGTCATGAATGTAGCCAGACAGTCATGAATGTAGCCAGACAGTCATGAATGTAGCCAGACAGTCATGAATGTAGCCAGACAGTCATGAAGGTAGCCAGACAGTCATGAATGTAGCCAGACAGTCATGAAGGTAGCCAGACAGTCATGAATGTAGCCAGACAGTCATGAATGTAGCCAGACAGTCATGAATGTAGCCAGACAGTCATGAATGTAGCCAGACAGTCATGAAGGTAGCCAGACAGTCATGAATGTAGCCAGACAGTCATGAAGGTAGCCAGACAGTCATGAAGGTAGCCAGACAGTCATGAAGGTAGCCAGACAGTCATGAAGGTAGCCAGACAGTCATGAAGGTAGCCAGACAGTCATGAAGGTAGCCAGACAGTCATGAAGGTAGCCAGACAGTCATGAAGGTAGCCAGACAGTCATGAAGGTAGCCAGACAGTCATGAATGTCATGAATAAATGTCATGAAATCTGTCACTCATCCAGTACGAGGTGAAGGCTCCGATGCCCTCCCAGTGTTTCCGTACAATCTGCAAGCAGCTGGCCAAACTGCACGAGGCTCTGCTGGGGATACTGCCTCAGCCACAACTCAGGGTGGGTGCTGTTAGGTTTCCTGTGTTCATATCTCCTCTTTGTTAATGTCTTTTCTGTGCTGCAGTTGTCTCATTCTTGATGTTAATTCCTTGTTGATGTTTTTAATTGAGTATTCTCAGTGTTAATGTTTTCTTATTTCTGTTGTATATTATGTGTTCTTATTTTTCATTTTGGTGTTTTCTCATTGCTGATGTTGCCTCTTTGTATATGTTTTTTTTTTAAAATAACTATTTGTATTTTGGTTTATTTCATGATGTTTTCTATTTTAAATATTATTGCATAGCAACATTCTCTCTAACAAGGGCCTTTTAGTATAGGAAGCAGAGAATAGCACCACCTGCCAAAAGGTGTCTTTAGGCTGGTAGGCCCCAACCTTCCTCCCTTGTTGTATAGTGGTAAAGATATAAGCATCTTTAGTAAGGCTGCTGTTAACGAGCACTTATTGGTTCATAATGAATTAATTAATTGATTCATTTGAGATTTGAGCATGTTTGATTATGACTTTTTACCCTTGGCATCAGTTATATTGTTTGAACAATCAGTTGTTTATGTGTCCTCTTCAGTGTCTGTTTGAACAATCAGTTGTTTATGTGTCCTCTTCAGTATCTGTTTCAACAATCAGTTGTTTATGTGTCCTCTTCAGTGTCTGTTTGAACAATCAGTTGTCTGTGTGTCCTCTTCAGTATCTGTTTGAACAATCAGTTGTCTGTGTGTCCTCTTCAGTATCTGTTTGAACAATCAGTTGTCTGTGTGTCCTCTTCAGTATCTGTTTGAACAATCAGTTGTCTGTGTGTCCTCTTCAGTATCTGTTTGAACAATCAGTTGTCTGTGTGTCCTCTTCAGTATCTGAACGAACAATCAGTTGTTTATGTGTCATATTCAGTATCTGTTTTAACAATCAGTTGTTTATGTGTCCTCTTCAGTATCTGTTTGAACAATCAGTTGTTTATGTGTCCTATTCAGTATCTGTTTGAACAATCAGTTGTTTATGTGTCCTCTTCAGTATCTGTTTAAACAATCAGTCGTCTATGTGCCCTCTTCAGTATCTGTTTGAACAATCAGTTGTTTATGTGACCTCTTCAGTATCTGTTTGAACGATCAGTTGTTTATGTATCCTCTTCAGTATCTGTTTGAACAATCAGTTGTTTATGTGTCGTCTTCAGTATCGGTTTGAACCATCAGTTGTTCATGTATCCTCTTCAGTATCTGTTTGTATAATCAGTTGTTTGTGTGTCCTCTTCAGTATCTGTTTGAACAATCAGTTGTTTATGTGTCCTTTTCAGTATCTGTTTGAACAATCAGTTGTTTATGTGTCCTCTTCAGTATCTGTTTGAACAATCAGTTGTTTGTGTGTCCTATTTCAGTATCTGATTTAACAATGAGTTGTTTATGTGTCCTCTTCAGTATCTGTTTGAGAGAAACAACGAGGCATTCATGAGACGACTCAGCAAGAGATTGGCGTTACTGGGTGTCAGGAATGATGGGGGCCCTCAGTGTGGGTGAGTGCTTCTTTGATTTATTGTTGTCTTCATTTCTCATTATTATGATTATTCTTCTCGTTTGCGTTTCCTCCTCCTTCCTTTTTATCTCCGTCCTTTTCTTCTTCTCCTCCTTTTCTTTTTCTGCTGCTTTATCCTCCCCCTTCTCTTCCTCTTATTGTTTTTGTCTTCTTCTTTTCTTCTTCTTTTTGAAAAAAATAGAGGAGGAGAAAATAGAAATAAAAAGAAAAGGCTAGTAGCAGTAACAGCAGCAGGAGTAGTAGTAGAAAGAGTAGTAGTAGAAGTAGTAGTAGTAGTAGCGGCGGCGGCGGTGGTGGTATTATTATTAGTATTATAGGAAGAAGTGTTGATGTCCCAGTGTGAAGCTTGTTGCTGTCTGTGATCTCTCATCACCGCTGGGACCTTCTTCGAGCCCATGGCAGTTTCAGTAGTCAGCCTGTTATGACTACTGGGTCGGCAGGCAAGCATGTTTGAACCTGCACCATGTAAGACAGTAGTGGAACTTGATGTCTGCTGAGAGACTTATTAGGATGACAGCAGCTCATGATTCAGTATTGCAGATGGTGGGGGTTAGACCTAGTGTAGGCATGTGTCCCTAAAGGGTTTTTGGTATTTCATTGTTAATAGACTCCTGAGATGGGAAAACCATTAGGAGATAATTAGACAGTACATCTGACATTATATTGCCTCTGTTAACCTCACTGACACGTGACTGTTTCTATCTCCTCAGGTTGGTGATATCTGACCTTGTTTTCTATTCTGGAAGCTTCAACACACTTAAAGGACTCGAGGGCCTTGTCACCAACACAAATGCAGCATGGGATATCAGGTGATAGTGGCAGCCAATCAGTTTGCTACAGGTTCATTCCAACACACAAAACAGAACTGCTGTTGTTTGTCACAGACTCAAGGGCGATGGGCGCCGAACATTTTAATGTGCTTTTCTTTTAGAAAAACAAAACCAAACATCTCTTGCCATTAACACGAATCAACAACAGGACAGGCTTAATTCAGAACAGTTTTTGTGTTGCTTTTTAGCATAACCAAACTGTCTGCTATTAATGTGGATACCAGAGTTAAGTGATTCAGAAAAGACTATATTTTGCTGTTTAACATAACCAGAAATGTCGGCCATTAATGTGGATTCAGATGTGAATGAAATAGGAAAGACCATATTTTAGCATAACCAAAAATAATTTCTGCCAGTAATATTGATCAGCCACAGAGATGAGGGATTCAAAAGAGAATATTGTTCTTTTGGTATTTAGCAGAACCAGACGTATACTCAAAAAGAGTGGTCCATCCCAAAGGTGAGTGTGATTCGGTGCTTTCTTGTAGTAGAATCAAAAATGTCTGCAGTGGATAAATCACATACATACACTGGTTCAGGAAGACAGCAATGTCTGTCTGCAGCCTGTCCAGACAGACAGAGCTTGTGCTGTATGCCACAGACTTTGGAGAATTTCAGATGGTAGAGTGTTAGGTTTTCTGTCTTTGAGACTAAAATATTTGCAATTAGCAGATGCCAGCGAATTTAATGTTGAATTAGCAGATGTTGGAGATTGTGTACGAGACTCTGTGACTGTTCAGTCACAATTGTAAAGCCCAGTTCTGACCTGTCCAATCAGATATGAAATCATTAAATTGGGCAACATTTTAGAAATCCATCAGTTGTTGTCTTCCGCCTCGTAATTTTTGTATCCTTATGTGGATTGGAGCCTGATGACAAACACAAGTTTTCCAGCATCAGAGTTGTTACATCTGCTTGCCAGATTGGGACTTCAAAGAACCACATCATATTCTCGTCAACGCTACAAATCCTGTACAGGCACAAGATTGTAAATTCCACAAACTTAGAAGAATTAACTCTTTAAAATATTGTGGGTTTGTGCAATGATTTTTTTGCTGTGGTTCTGAAACTGTTTCTATTTTCCAATGTTTTGGTGACAAAAGGTTTTGTGGAGGATGTACAAAAGGGGTTGTTAACAAATCATAAGGGCATTACTTTCAAAGAGACTAAATATACCGCATTTTTCTGTGTGTAAGATGCTCTATGTGTGAGATGACCCCTATGTGTAAGATGACCCTATGTGTAAGATGACCCCTATGTGTAAGATGACCCCTATGTACGAGTATCCTTACTTGTTTAGGGCTGCATGTTTAACCAGGCCAGACTAGCCGTCAGAGATGTCCCCTTCATAACTTCTGTAGAGGTTGAATCGGGTGTCTTGTATTTGTCTCGCTGGCTTGCCATCTAGATTGAGATTTTGTAATCTCAGGTGGGGACATCTCCAGGTAGCAACTCGACGAGGAACAACGGAAGGTAAAGCAAGAAGCTGAATGAAGCTTAACCCCACCAGGACTGCACATACTGAGCGATAAACACCCGATGACACAAAGTGCCACCAATCAGATGAGAATCGCCCAGGCTCAAGTCCCAGACACACTGTTCAGCCCTTAGGTTACATTAGGACCCCCCCGACAAATGCCGGGATAGGGCTTTAAAATAACAAAACACACACACACACCCCCCCCCCCCCCCCCCCAAATGCATAGCAAGAAGCTTGTTTGACTCACGACCAGTTGTCACCATCTGTGATAGTGACCCCATCTGTAGATAATTATCTTATTGATTCCTCTAATTTATTATATCATTTTGGTTGGTTGGATGACTTCAAAACTTCTGGAGCCCTTAAGTCTGCTGAATTCTTCTTCTTCTTTTGCGCTCATCCAAAGATTTAAGTGCGTTGTTCCTGTTTACAGCATGGCTGGGATATTCTATAGGCTTTTGTTGCCTGGATTAGCCTTCCCAGCATTGCTGAACTGATGTTCTGGCCGTGTCAGGCACATCTGATTTCACCAGGCTTCTAATTAGTCGCATTTGACAATCTGCTGGTTAGGGGGGGACATTAGGTTCCCTCCCCCCCCCCCCCCCCCCCAGCTCTTGGCCAGATGGGGGCGGTTCAGAACCGAGACAGCAACCTTGGGTACTGAACGTATGCAAACAATAGGCCAGTATGTCTACATCAACTCAGCGATGTCCCCCACATTATCTTGATTGTTGTCTAAATGTATGCAGTCGATGACTGTGTGACCTTGATAAACTTGGTTTCCCTGATATCACTGTACAGTTGTTAGGCAAGTGTGTCCTACAAGAACTCAAGCAGTGTCGCCACATGTTTTCATTGATGGGTGTCTGAATGTATGCAGTGTTGAAGAGTTTGGTGTACAAGAAATCATCAGCGCCCAGATATCGGTGTAGTGCAAAAGATTTATGGTAGAACATGAAGGCTCAAAGACAATCAAAGATTCCGTAACATTTTGTAATAAAACACTCAGAGCATCACAATCATCTTGTGCCATGCCGAGCAGTGGTGGAGACCATGCTCCTCAACAGCAATCTTCTCCTTAGCGTTCACTATCTATAAACTCCAGCAGACTCTGGTTGTTCATCCACTCCTGGATTTTGCTCATGTTCCAGGACTTGAGTTTTGCATGTTCATCCATTTTAGCGATCTGGCTTATCTCCGTGCAGGCTGTTGGTTCCTCACCTTTCAGGCAGAGGCATTCCGACTTCAAAGGAAACTTGCCTGATAAGATGCCATGTACAGCATGCTTGTTAGGGAAGCAGTGAGCCTGTTCCTCCCCTCCCCCCCCCCCTCCCAAATAGGACCCCAGAAGCCGCATGGGGATCTACAGAAAGTTGATTAGACTAAACTAAAAAAGGCAGGAAGGTGTGAGCAAGACTATGGGGTCACCTCATCTTGAAAAGTGACAGTCTAACACTTCAAACCACCACAACTGTATTATCTGCCATATGCTCTTTACACTACTTGAATGTTTTTGGCCTGGTTTTTTGTTTTGTTTTCCTGGCACCAGTTTGTTTTTATTGCGCATCAGATCTTCCTGGATTGCCAGTAAAGCCTGGACTGGGTGCATGGCCTGACTGTTTGACTGTGTGCATGGCCTGACTGTTTGACTGTGGACTGGGTGCATGGCCTGACTATTTGACTGTGGACTGGGTGCATGGCCTGACTGTTTGACTGTGGACTGGGTGCATGGCCTGACTATTTGACTGTGGACTGGGTGCATGGCCTGATTGTTTGACTGTGGACTGGGTGCATGGCCTGACTGTTTGACTGTGGACTGGGTGCATGGCCTGACTATTTGACTGTGGACTGGGTGCATGGCCTGATTGTTTGACTGTGGACTGGGTGCATGGCCTGACTATTTGACTGTGGACTGGGTGCATGGCCTGATTGTTTGACTGTGAACTGGGTGCATGGCCTGACTGTTTGACTGTGGACTGGGTGCATGGCCTGATTGTTTGACTGTGGACTGGGTGCATGGCCTGATTGTTTGACTGTGGACTGGGTGCATGGCCTGACTGTTTGACTGTGGACTGGGTGCATGGCCTGACTATTTGACTGTGTGCATGGTCTGATTGTTTGACTGTGGACTGGGTGCATGGCCTGACTGTTTGACTGTGGACTGGGTGCATGGCCTGACTGTTTGACTGTGGACTGGGTGCATGGCCTGACTGTTTGACTGTGGCCTGGGTGCATGGCCTGACTATTTGACTGTGGACTGGGTGCATGGCCTGATTGTTTGACTGTGGACTGGGTGCATGGCCTTACTATTTGACTGTGGACTGGGTGCATGGCCTGACTATTTGACTGTGGACTGGGTGCATGGCCTGACTATTTGACTGTGGACTGGGTGCATGGCCTGACTATTTGACTGTGGACTGGGTGCATGGCCTGACTATTTGACTGTGGACTGGGTGCATGGCCTGACTGTTTGCATGAGATGGGCCTTTATAATAAAAACATTAAAGATGATCAGTGTTGTCTGTCTTCTCTTTATTTATTTTGTATCTTGCTCTGTCAAGTTTAGCTAAATGAATGAATGTTGAATTAAGAATTGACATCACAGCACTCGGGACACCCCCATAAGCGCTCCATCCCCATCTGCAGCAGCAAGTGAAGAGTTAAAATTCCAATAGTACCAGTAACTGTTTGATTGTATATCCGTCTTGCCTTTCCCCCTGAGTGTTGAGCGTCGGCCAGATCCCCTTTAACTCCTTGCAGTAACTCCTCAGATCACATGGTCTGTCTGTGCCTCAGCACTGTTCCCTCGTTCCCTCACAACATCCAGTTTGTCATCAGTTCACAACCAAGGGGTGCAGTCTATCTGCCAGCTCATTTCCTAACACACCGGCATGACCTTAAGAAAATATCCAAAGGATGGCTAAATGATGAAAGGCCACACTGGACTAGGAGTGACTTGGTCACTTTTGTGCGCTGCCCTAATATAACTGTGCTATATGGATATACGGTTGAATGGGGTTTCCGGGATTTGTACCTGTGTGATTCTCTTCCTTGAGATGTTAATCCTACAGAGAGGATCAACTTCATTGTCCCAGGTTAGATCCCATATGGCTTGGAATTGTTAGTTGACTGCCAAAAGCATGACACAAAGCATGAACTCCGCAACTCCAGCGATGATCCCCAGTTAGCTTGACCATGTTACCATGGAGACCCCCATAAATATTTTCCGAAATAATTGTCATTGAGCAAACATCTGTAATCAGTTGAAAACAAAGAGAAAAAAAAACTGTATAGATATAGTATATTATATATATATTTCTGAATACCATCTAGCTGCACACACACACACACACACACACACACACACACACACACACATATGTGCACCAGCCCTCGCTGGTGTATAATTTTTTTCCATGTATAATAAAATGTATATAACACTTCCATACAAGAAATTTTCATGTTATCTATTCCAAATACAACCATCTGAAAATCAAGAAAGA